TTCAACTTTTTCAGATGGCATTGTGGGATTAAGTGTCAGAGTTGTATGAATGCCAACTCTGTCTATTTAACAGCGTAAAAATAGTAGCTTTAAAAGTGCGACTTTTACCATGTGTCTTATAACATTATTTCATGTCACTAAGCAGTTCATAATAAGTAAGCACACGAGTACGTGTCAAGGTGTGCTACAGATTTAAAGTTTTGTTTTCACTGTAAACTGCCACTTTCATCACTATTGGCTTTTTAATTTCGGACGGTTTTTGTAAGTGGAAAAAAAATTCGTTAAAAACAAATAAATAGTAGCATCAGCCAAGTGAATAGATCATTCATATATATCTTAAGTCACTGGGATGCTGTCTCATTGAGGGAAACTCGATTCTCCTTTTCACCGTTAAACGTGCACATGTCTTTTGGTTATTTTTGTCGCTAGGTTGCTGTCTCATTGAAGTTTACCCCACATTTTGTTTTTGCTGCACACTTTATATTTTCAAACATGCAATTAAGGTTTTATTTCATTTAAATAAAGTGAGAAAATGCAAAAGAGAAGATCAAAGGACTTTATAGAAAAAAAGAAGAAATGATCTATTTTTTAAAAAACGACCTGTTTGATCGCTCGTATTTCGGTTGTCTATAAATATAGTTCCTGTTATTTTTATGAATGTAAACTATAAGTACTGTGTTTTTTAAGGAAAAATGTATGGCTTAAAATTATAAGTTATGTTATTTATTTTGTAGTGATGTGTATCATCACTTTTTTTTTTAAATTTCAACTTTTTCAGATGGCATTGTGGGATTAAGTGTCAGAGTTGTATGAATGGTAACTCTGTCAATTTAAACAGCGTAGAAATCGTAGCGTTTGAAATGCGACTTTTCCCATGTGTCTTATAACTTTATTTCATGTCACTAAGCAGTTCATAATAAGTAAGCACACGAGTACGTGTCAAGATGTGCTACAGATTTCAACATTTGTTTTTTTTTTCAGTAACTGTAAATCTTAAATGTGTTTTTGAAAAAAAAATGTCTTCACTAGGAACTCTAGATCTGAAACCTGCAGACTTGAGTTTAGAAGGGAAGTTATTCTAGAGATATTTTTTGTCATTTTTGCACATAGGATCTTTCCAGAAACAGTCAGTGCAGCAAAGTTATGCTTCCGAACGATATGTCTTCTCAGCTACCGAATGGCGAATGATGCATCCAAAAATTGACTGCGCGGTACATTCCCAGAAATTTCGCAATACTTGGACATAAAACACAACCTTTCTTATTAAGTAAAAAATTCTATATATGAAGGTGTCGACATAAAGTTAGACAACAAACTTACTTTACCTTTAAAAACTTAATATAATGTTAGAAATGAAAGGTCACCACACTAAAATTGTGATGGACACAAAGACCTGTAAACAAAGGCCCTATCTATGATACTTTATCCTTCCAATTCTTCATTTAAGTCTTGTTATACTTCTTTGTCATGTACTTGTTTTTAAAAAATATATAACTAACATTCTTAATATATTTTTCAATAAATGTATCTATTCTACAAGGCATTCATGTTTTTAATTTGATAGTGATTTGTATCATTATTTTTTTAAATTTCAACTTTTTCAGATGGCATTGTGGGATTAAGTGTCAGAGTTGTATGAATGCCAACTCTGTCTATTTAACAGCGTAAAAATAGTAGCTTTAAAAGTGCGACTTTTACCATGTGTCTTATAACATTATTTCATGTCACTAAGCAGTTCATAATAAGTAAGCACACGAGTACGTGTCAAGGTGTGCTACAGATTTAAAGTTTTGTTTTCACTGTAAACTGCCACTTTCATCACTATTGGCTTTTTAATTTCGGACGGTTTTTGTAAGTGGAAAAAAAATTCGTTAAAAACAAATAAATAGTAGCATCAGCCAAGTGAATAGATCATTCATATATATCTTAAGTCACTGGGATGCTGTCTCATTGAGGGAAACTCGATTCTCCTTTTCACCGTTAAACGTGCACATGTCTTTTGGTTATTTTTGTCGCTAGGTTGCTGTCTCATTGAAGTTTACCCCACATTTTGTTTTTGCTGCACACTTTATATTTTCAAACATGCAATTAAGGTTTTATTTCATTTAAATAAAGTGAGAAAATGCAAAAGAGAAGATCAAAGGACTTTATAGAAAAAAAGAAGAAATGATCTATTTTTTAAAAAACGACCTGTTTGATCGCTCGTATTTCGGTTGTCTATAAATATAGTTCCTGTTATTTTTATGAATGTAAACTATAAGTACTGTGTTTTTTAAGGAAAAATGTATGGCTTAAAATTATAAGTTATGTTATTTATTTTGTAGTGATGTGTATCATCACTTTTTTTTTTAAATTTCAACTTTTTCAGATGGCATTGTGGGATTAAGTGTCAGAGTTGTATGAATGGTAACTCTGTCAATTTAAACAGCGTAGAAATCGTAGCGTTTGAAATGCGACTTTTCCCATGTGTCTTATAACTTTATTTCATGTCACTAAGCAGTTCATAATAAGTAAGCACACGAGTACGTGTCAAGATGTGCTACAGATTTCAACATTTGTTTTTTTCAGTAACTGTAAATCTTAAATATGTTTTTGAAAAAAAAATGTCTTCACTAGGAACTCTAGATCTGAAACCTGCAGACTTGAGTTTAGAAGGGAAGTTATTCTAGAGATATTTTTTGTCATTTTTGCACATAGGATCTTTCCAGAAACAGTCAGTGCAGCAAAGTTATGCTTCCGAACGATATGTCTTCTCAGCTACCGAATGGCGAATGATGCATCCAAAAATTGACTGCGCGGTACATTCCCAGAAATTTCGCAATACTTGGACATAAAACACAACCTTTCTTATTAAGAAAAAAATTCTATATATGAAGGTGTCGACATAAAGTTAGACAACAAACTTACTTTACCTTTAAAAACTTAATATAATGTTAGAAATGAAAGGTCACCACACTAAAATTGTGATGGACACAAAGACCTGTAAACAAAGGCCCTATCTATGATACTTTATCCTTCCAATTCTTCATTTAAGTCTTGTTATACTTCTTTGTCATGTACTTGTTTTTAAAAAATATATAACTAACATTCTTAATATATTTTTCAATAAATGTATCTATTCTACAAGGCATTCATGTTTTTAATTTGATAGTGATTTGTATCATTATTTTTTTAAATTTCAACTTTTTCAGATGGCATTGTGGGATTAAGTGTCAGAGTTGTATGAATGCCAACTCTGTCTATTTAACAGCGTAAAAATAGTAGCTTTAAAAGTGCGACTTTTACCATGTGTCTTATAACATTATTTCATGTCACTAAGCAGTTCATAATAAGTAAGCACACGAGTACGTGTCAAGGTGTGCTACAGATTTAAAGTTTTGTTTTCACTGTAAATCTTAAATGTGTATGTAAGTGTTTGCAAAAAAAAAATGTCTTTTTTGCAAAAAATTGCTTTAGTTTATTTGAAATTCCGGTTAATAGATTCTACAAGGCATTCAAGAAGAATTTTTAATTGGTGAATCAGCTCCATGTCCAGCAACAAATATATCAGTCATAATACAAGGAGATAGTAACATGTATGTGATGCAAACATAGCTTTTCTAAATTAAGGACTATATCTCCCAATGCAAAACTCTGATTCCTTGCCCAACATTTGCTTTACTTTTTGTCTTTTTTGGTTAATTGGCTCTTCCTCCCTTTTTTAATAAGTTTTGAATTTCAAATATTTTGGCTTCGAGCAACAATGGAGAGACATTGATTGTTGAAATGTGCATCGAAATGTGCAGTACTATTGACTGTTAATATTATTGCGTAAAACTAAATAAGCCCCGAATCATTGTGTGCCTGTATAACATTATATGTTTACCAAGTCAGGCTACTTTGACCATAATAATTGTTTTTTGATGGGTTTTGTGGATTATTTTTTCTGAGGAGTGGTTGGTGTAGTCCATTGTTTATTTTTTGTTTTAAGAAATTCCCGTTATGCTCTTTTTGTATTATTATAGAATACAAATTGAAAACATACAATACAAATCTTTCATTATAGGAAACGAGTGCACACGCTGAAATGTCTCGCCTGCTTTACTGACCATTGATTTTATGTTGAAAGTCTTAAAGATAAAGGTTTAACTAACACAATCACAGAAACGCAGGTCATATAAATGCTTTCAGACAGATATATATACCTTACAATTTTTTAAACACAAAATATAATTGACCTATTGCTTATGATAATCCGAAAACAGACCAAAAAACCCAACTTAACATTGATCAGTGAACTATGAAAATGAGGTCAAGGTAATATGAAACCTACTAGTCTGACATGTACCCATTACAGTCATTCCATACACCAAATATAGTTGACATACTGATTATAGTATTTGAGAAATGGACCTAATCACGTAACTTTAACATTGATCACTGATCCATGAAATGAGGTCGAGGTCAGGTGAACCATGCCTGACGGACATGCAGACCATACAAGGTACCCATATACTAAGTATGGTTATCCTATTACTCATTATAAGTGAGAAATTCACATTTATAAGTAAGAAATTCACATTAAAAAAAAAACTAAAAACAAATTCAGGCAGTCCCTGAACCATGAAAATGAGGTCAAGGAAAGTGGACATATGACAGACGGAAACTTTATAACATTAGGTATTTGCATAAAAGATATGAAGCATCCAGGTCTTCTACCTTTTGAAATATAAAGCTATAAACAAAAGTTGATGTCGCCGCCGCCGCCGCCTTATATTAATACCTATGTCTCATATATTGCGACTTTCGTCGCAGGCGAGAAAATACATTATCATCTTTTGCAAAGCCATACTAGTATTCATAGATCGATTATTTGTGTCTATTGTCTTTATGTTTGTTTGTTTTATGATTTTGTGCTGTTATACCACAGTTCAAGGTGAGCTGAGAATTTGGCGCACCCAGGCATGTTATATTGGAAAGTTTTACATGAGATACAGAGTAAATTACTCCCAGTAATTGAATTCTGAGGAGAATTATATATTGTGTAAACAACACACACCCAGCCCCTTATAGTTACACTTTCAATCAGAATAAACCACAAAAACAAAACTATATTTTTGTCTTACCCCGCTTTTTGGCAAACTAAAAATTTGAAAGTAAAGAAACCAAAATGGAAGAGTCTACTCCTACGGCATTGTTTGACTATCATGTTAGCTTACATTCATTGTTTGTTTTAATTATGCAACTAAAGCTTTTTTCGAGTTAAATTACAAATATATAATTTATATACATGTGTAAATGAAGTAAAAAAAGTATGTATAATGTACTTAAAAGTCAAAGTATACGTTATAGGGCACCATTTCGGAATTTGATGAGCAGATCTCGTTAACCTGCACCTGAATCTAAAAATAACTTACGTATGTAATCTTTATGATTCCAGAGAAAAAGGTATTTAATTGTATAGAATGTAATTAAAAAGCGGCAAAACATTTTTTTTAATTTTCACTTGAAATTCCATTTCTTCAAGAAATCATCCACAGAATTTTTGTTTAAAACTGTGATATGTCATTGCTGTAAACCTTTTAAAAGTTTTAAAGAAAAGAAAAAATATGTTTTCAAAAACGTTATAAACGTACATTTGTCTTAAATCTCAACAACTAACAATAATTTGAGATAAAATTACATATTACTGCAAAGTAAAAAGTGTAAAAATAGCTTACATTTACAGATTAAATACTTTGAGAAACATGCTCTTTAATGTTAGATACAAAATTTCCATAACTACCACTGAGAGAACAAATTATAAAACAAGTACAGTTTTTACGACATTGTGTTGCTCTAAATATATTTGACTTTTTTGGAAACATGTAAATATGTTGTTGAATCTATTTAAAAATAAAAACATCTTTATATTCAAATGCGACTGATTTATTTCAACACCTTTCATTATGCCTCTTAACACAAAAACAATGGAAAGTGTACATATCCTTTCTTCCAAAAGATAAAAACTGGAAGACATTTTAAAACACATATGATATCAGAAATGTTGGCAAATGACAAGATAAAAATTATTTGTTATTTTTTCCATAAAATCTCTTCGTTATATCAAATTCCTACTTTCAAGACAAAATTATAGGCTTAGTCTATCGTTTATGACATCATGTTCCGTCACTCCGTGGATGGAAAATTGACACTTAATAAATTTCGTTTAATCGTTTTTAAGAACATATGATCTCATATTTGGTTTATGTAACATAGTTTTAAGCACTATAAGTAATTTGACATTAACCGTGTTTTAAGGTAATCTTTTCTCTTCTTATGAAATGAATTATGTTTTAAAATATATAGATATTTCTAAAAACTGTTTAAAACAAGTTCACCCTAAGTCATGTAAAATTTTCCATAGAACAATTCTTTGATAAAATGCATAAATTATTTAAAAAAAAAAAAAAAAAAATTCTGTAAGATCGCTCTTACTGATTGATACGGGAATTATTTAATTCATGCTCACCGTGACAGAAATTAAAGTTAGCCTTCAAATTTCATTAAAATACTTGAGGGCTTACATGCTTTATGCTTAAAAGTTTAAATAACATCTTCTGGTAATGTAAATACTGAACTCAAAGGCATTTTAGAATTCAGGGTAACACATTTCCTACTCCATTGCATATTTTTACATTTTATTACTTGAACTTATTCATTTTTTACCATTCGTGTTCTTTTTAAACATTTTAAGAGCAGTCATCAATTGTGACTTTTGGTTTCGCCTTTGATATTTTACCAATTTCATGTATTTTGTATCAAACGTCATTATAGAAATTTTTCATTTTTTTTTAAATGAGACGAGGTTGTTAATAAATAGTTCAGGTCTTTGTACTTTCAAATCATTTTTATATGTTTACCAAAACTTTAGAATGAGATACAAACATAAATAAGTAGTTATTACATATCTTTATAAGTACAGTAATACATAATGTTTGCAGTAAAATTTTATTATATAAGCATTAGTTGAATATTGAAAAGGTATATCAAAGTATAACATATCGGAGTCATTCTGTATTTTAACAGTAGAAAGTTGACGCATTGAAATATCGTCCTCCTTAAGAAGAATTGACCTTTGTTTGAACAAAATTTGTACTACCTGGGAAAACCTCTTTTACGGTAATATATAACTTAAGCTAAGTGTAAGTAAACGACATTCATATTTGTCACCGAACAGTTGAGATCAACATCGTGTAAATGGGGATCAAACTCTTATAGGCAAGAAAAAATTATGTTCCTGGCAGAAAACAAGGGATTGTGTTAATTTAACATGTAGAAAAACAAATTTAGAATTGAGGCTTCGCATAAGCATGATTATCAGAAAACATTATAAACCTTTTAAAATAAGTTTTCGGGTTCCCTTTCTTTTTTGTTGTTAAAACTGCTTACGAATATTTCTTTAACAGGAAGCACATTTACATTTTTTAATATTTTTATGGAAAAGGGTTATATGACAAAATCGTGGCTCTTTGTGCTAAAATATGGAAAAAATAGAGTGATGTAATCAAGTACAGACATGAATGTTTCAAATTTATTTTATTCTACTGCTGCGAATTTTCCACTCTAAATATTTAAATCAAAACTAACGGCAGTACACGAGTATGTTAAAATCTAAAATTCTTTTATGAGTAGTGGCAAAATATTGTAACTCATGATCAGTCAAATATGATTTGATTCTCCCATATGCTTCAGTGTTGTATATCACATCGATAAAAAAATAGCGGATAGAACATCAAAAAATTATTACAAACGAAATTACATATAAAAAATGGCTTCCAGACACATCGACTACAATCACAGGTGTATTGATTGATACAGTTAAATCCATATTGTTTAGCCTGGTATAAAAGCGCCAATCATTTAAAAAAATTGAAAAACCCTAAACGTTTTCATGCTGATACTAAAAAAACTTGCTACTTGCGATTAGACGTCTGCACTACTTGATAATAAAAAGTCTAAAAATTTTGTCAATACAAAATGTAGTATGTACTAACCGATAGAACAACTCTAAACAGTGAGAATGAACATAATTGTGCCAATGTGTTGTAGTGTTAACACAACAGATTCAAATTAGAAAATTAGATGAAGAATAAACAAAATATCTATAGTGAAAACTGATAATACACCCTAATGAAATATCAATGGTCAACATAGAAATAGACAACTTAACAAGCTTAACACAGTCTTACAGAATTATTAATATCAAATTGTTTATAAAAAAACAACAACAAAAAAACACATACGTTCTGCATACATTAGAAGACTAATAAAAAGTAAACATATTAAACTACTAGCAAGCCTGTGATTAACTTAATAAGCAGAATTGATATGTCAACCAAACACATTTATAATATTGGAAAACAGATATTGACTTGTATATGTCTTTTCATTTGTGTGCAGTTAAATTGTTGTCGCAGTTGATATGGTACCGTAAATGTTATGTATGTCCCACATCTATAACTCATATACCCACGGTGAGTTAACATTACATAAATCAGTTCCAAACCCTAAACGCACGAAACTAATGAAGTGTTATTTTCATTTATTTCATTGTCACATTTATTTTAAACAAGTTGGTATTGATTTTAGAAATACATTTTTAAAAATATAATGTTAAATTTGATAATGCTTTTTAATATAATTATGTATGTTTTAAATGTTACAATATGTGTGAAGGCATAACAAGGCATTGACACCTTTGGATGCACTCGGTCATAACCTTTATCAAGTCTCGATTCCCACTATTTTCACTGTAATGATTATTTGTTTTGTCCCTATTTTGACTTACGAGATTTAAACCGACTTTTAAGAGATTTATGGTCAGAAACTATTTTCTTAAAATTATCATATTGAAATGCCTAACTTGCAAAACAAATTACCCCCCGTGACTTAAATTCAAGTTAAACTCAGCCCATAATAAAACGTACATTTACTTTTTCAATCACATTCTGTAACACCGATATTTTTTCATATAAAATATGACCACCTTAAGCATTCAGAACGTGTTAGTAGCTAATATCATGAATTAAGGCGACAGCAGTTTACTGGTGATCAAATCACGTAACTCAATTAGGAAGAAAGAAATCAAGGTAACCAACTAAAATTGAGGTAATCACATGAATTTTAATAGAATCTGCCCGGTGCATCGACTGTGCTGTATGCTATGCATCATCCGCCATGCGAATCAACATGATCAAAACTCACTTAAAAGTTCAGAATCGTGAATAGGACAAAGACACGGAAATTACAGATCTGACGACCATATTCATTATCTGAAGAACTAAAACAACGACTACATGTCGCTAGTAAGTTGAAACAGTTACATTTCTTTAGAACTCATTAAAATGAAATAAAGGCTTCTTTGAATTTCTGTTTTTTTTTAAACTAAAATGGTTAACAGATAAATCGTGATTTATTTATAATTTCAAGTTTAAGTTTTTAAAATTGAAATGAAAATAAAACATGTGAATTAAAAAAAAACTATCAGACAGTACCTTTTAATACTATTTTAACTATTAAAATAAAGTCTTTTACAAAGTGCAAAATATATAATAACAAAATGAATGATATAACATAAAATAGAGTAAAACAAAACTGCATAAAACTAGCAGTAAGCTTACAAACATGCTGATTTCAAACTACAACCGATGAACTAACCGTTATCAGTCTGTACAAATGTTTACGATGTTTTCTTCAATTTCATTTAAACACCTTAATGTTGCTTTTTAATGGTTGCTTGTACACATTTCGCCGTCTTTAACTTGGATATTTTGGCTAGTGTTCCCATCCTAAAAAACAACATTTGAAACATTCCATAGGTGTTAAATAGTTAACATCTATTAAAGGTACACGTGAACTATGTGTCCTATCTTTACTTTAATGTTTTTTCTAAGAATGGTTACATATTACGATTAGCGATAGTAGCGTAATACATCCATATTTATGTCTGTGGTATGCCTGTCGCTCTATCCACGACAACTCAGATACGATACACCGATTTGAATTTATGTAATGGGGTTAAAAGTTTTCGAATACCACAGACCGGCGATTACAAATAATATATTTTCCTAACTGCATGAAAGGTGATATATACAACTTTGTTTGATTTAATATTAAATAAAGTGATAGTTATACAGTGGAAACAATATACCTATATTAAAAGTAGAAAGATGTGCCAAGAGTCTTTTCTTGATCGAATCGACGTTGTAATGCTTGTGATGGATATAAATATTAAAACGTTTGTACGATCGTTACACCAGTAAAGTACTATAAAAGATTAATTAGAGCTTAGGTTTAGTGCAAGAAAAATGAACTGACAATTATTTTAAGATTTCGTCCAATAGAAAGACTAACATATAATATTATTTAAATTGTTCCCATAACTTACATTCAATGGACATGCAAAAAAGTTTTTGGCCATGTCAATTCTTCGTCACCGCTTTCTGCACAATTTACAGGATATTCAATTCTGCAAGAATAATATCCTTCGTCATCTTTTGAAGAGTTAAGTATTATGAGAGATGGATATCCTACTTCAGAACCTTTGTATTTCATCGCATCTACAATTACACGAGTCTCATGATCACTCATCATCCTAACCCAGTAAATACTTGCACCTTTAGGTAATGCTACAATTACTTCACAGTCAAGTGTACATCCATCGCCTATCTTGACATCAAAAGAAGGCTTAAGTGTAAGCCTAGGGAGTTCTGTAATTGAATACCCGAAACTATTAGAATTAAAGTTGTGTATATGAACAATCTACATTTCGATGAATTGATTTAATGAAATTCAATGAGGAACATACACAAGAAAAGGAAAAACAATATTCCATGTATATGTTTTGTACAAGATGCAAGTTTATACAAATTATAATTTGTGTTTTTGTACAAGTTATAACTTTTTTGACACATACCTTTTCGCACCAAGTGATAAAAGTTTTTCTTCTAAAATGTATCAGCTTAATGTCTTACATTCAAATAATTGTCTCATTGGCAATTACACCACATCTTCTTTTTTATGTTTCTAAGATATTAAGTGCCTGCTTTTGTGTATCCAAAATTCCGGTAACCGGTGCAGTACGGTCTGATGTATAAACAGGTATATTGATCCTGCTTCCATAAAATGTTTTCAAGTTAAAAAATTAACGTGGATAGAAATGAGGACCACGAATAGGTGGTGCGCGTCTTATTAAAATTTTAGTATACAAACTTGCCTAAAATTGCGAGCACACATATAAGAGACGTTGTCTCAAGAATAAATACACTATAACTTACTTAAAAATACAGAAGAGCATACATATCAAGCACGGGGAAACTTTCTACGGCCTCCACACAGCACGAGAAACAAACTCCGTTAATAAGATAAAAAACAAAGAATATGGGGTATCCATCTATGATCCTATGTCCTTCTTCATCCATGGACACTCATCAGTAGTGTAGAGTAGAACATAATTCATGACTAAAATCTTTTTTTTTTGTTAATTTTGTATTGCTGATAATGTTTTCTGTTTACACAGTTTTTCTCTATCTTTTAGTTTCAGCCAAAAACACCAAAGAGAGTACAACTCATGTACGGGCAATAACTCAAATAAGAAAACCACCAACAATTTCAAATATGAAGACCTCTTTGCAGATCTTGTCTTGTTGATTTTTGTTTCAAGATTTTCTATCGGATGATTAAATTAGTTTCAAGATGAAAGGCGAACAAAAAAATTATAAAGAGTCGAACAAAGATTTCAACATAATTAAATTATTTTCACAAGATCCCTGTGCGTAAGATAAGCTTAAAATGGTTTTTTTTTCGATAGTCGTGTTTTCTGTAGTATCACCCAAGATAAGAAATACTCTGCTTCCTCAAAACCCATTACATCAAGAAGCCCATTTTATCTTAATTATGATAGCGGCTTTTGGAACAATTTAATACCAAGAAATATTGAGATATTCCTTACCGATTTCAATACTGTCTTTGTAGGTCTCCCAATCGACCCTGTTGAGCTTCCGTTTTGCAACTTCTTTCACTCGATCTGTATAGGCTGTTAGCTTCTTATTATGTTTTTCCATTCGTCGTACAACTTTCTGTATCATCTTTAGTTTTTCGAAATATTCCTTATCATCTAAAACAAACGACGACAAATGCTGCATACCGTTCCTAGTGAGTCTAACTCTTTCTATGTCATCTCCAATTTTCTCGGCACTGTTTTGTATATCCTTCAATTCACCTCCCCAAAGACCTCGGCTCGGTGTATGTTGATTCTGATTCCGCAGTTGAGAATACAGCCAAGTGATATCACATTCACTACGTTTCTTTACTGGCGAGGGTTTATCTAGTACAAGCAAATCATAAAGTACATCTCCTAGTATATCAAGTATTATTATAGCCATCCTTGCAGCATTAATTTGATCATTTGTGCATTCTTCCTGAAATCACATTTTGGTGTACAATATATCTTTCAGTAATTAGATTTTTTTCATATATGATATATAGTTCTGCACATATCAAGACTTCAAGTTATGTAAAAGTAATATTTGCTATCCTTTATTAAAATTAAACAACACCAAATAAGACATACATTTGTATTGTTTGTATTTATATATTGTTGTCACGTTCTATATCGATTATCAGTTATCGAACAATTCAACAGTAACTACAAAAATCTTCTATCAACGGCAATGTCAGAAATAATCAAATAGAAAATCAAAGAAAATCATCACTTCCATACACACGGTCAATCTTTTAAACATATGGGTTTAATCTGCATATCATTTAGTTTATTAGTCATTTTTACAAATTTAGACTAAAAAGATCTCATTTCTATTTTCCATATACTGAATAAGAAATTTTCATTTTTAAATCAAAATAGGGTGCTGAAAAGGACGTTTAAAAATTTATCTTTATTCACCCAATAACAACCAATAAGTTTCTGTTCGATAGCTTAAACTCTTTAAACAAAAATATGCAGGCAGTCCTTATGGAATTACGTTGTGTTTTCATTGTGTTTCCTTACGAATGTTTAAAAACCTAGTGGACAAAAGCTCTTTTAAAATATCTTAATATTTTGCTTTGGAATTTGTACAATAAATACAATGCATACAATGATTAATCATACCTCATCTGATTCACCACACCAGTCAACATGAACTTCGTCCGAGCTGTGTGAATTTTCATGTTCATCGCAATAATATTTGCCATTTGGTTGTATAATCTTAAACTCCACCATTCCATCTAGGCAATCGTATTCTGTGAACTGGCATTTTACTTTTATGCTATACTGGATGTGCATTGATGATCTTTCTTCAATCAGTCGGTCGACAATTTGCAACAGTTTTGTCTTGATAGAACGGTGTGCACGTGTCCTACCATCTCCCCATTTCCATACTTGAAATTGGATGACGTTTCTATACCTGCAAATCATCAGTTTTTCGCATTTGGTATCGTCGATTTCAAAGACAGCAACATTTTGATAGAATAGTAAATGTCTCTCGTCGCCTGTTTTCTTCTTCTTTTTCTCTCTCACAGGATTAAATAAATGTGTACATGTGAAAAGTAAATGTGCCATGAAAGTCGGAGGGAGAAACAGAAAATCTAAACAAAGGCAAGACGACTTCGTGAATTGGGTGCTAAATTTTTCTTCAATCTCAACAATTGGGAGATGATTAATCATGCATGGAACACCATATTCGAATCTGTCTAGGTTTTCCGTTTGTAGCGTAACATCTGGCCGTACTATTATGTTACATCTTATCATTAAATTCAGAATAAGGTTTTTGTGTTTCACAATGTCCGGAGTTTGTCTGCTGAAAATTTCCTCAATCAGTTCTTGTGAAAGCTTTCCATACTCTCGCAGATTCCTCCATTCTTTTGTCTTTCTAGTGTCTGTTTTTGATTTAGCAGATGTTATAATCAACATCATTGCATGTGCCAACCACTGGGGATCCAGGATAACGTTGTCGGGATTGCACTTTAAGTAAACAACAGTACCATTGTCATGATAATAAGAGAGAAACTGTCCTAGATCATGATCATCATTCAAAGGGACATACATTTTCTTCACACTATCTTTCATCTCTTCTATAGACATTACAGGAACGTTCAACTTCATCTGTTTGTGTAAATTCCTTTCAAGATGAATCCATCTTAAAGGCCTCTCTAAATTCCAATATGCTTGTTTCCTTGAGACCATGACAATATCACTACGCAAAGGGTCCAAGTCATCAAATTCTTGCAAATTGGCGACGACATAATAACCTTTGATGTGATGTCTGTTTTCAGTGCAATCTTGTATTTGGCACTTAAGTTGTGACAAACATTGATCGTCATTTCCCTACAATATGATTCGAATGTATGACATTACTTAAAAAAGTATTAGTAACACTTTTGATTTAAAAGTTGTAATGATAAAATTGTCTCTTTTCAACTAGAATTTGAAAGACGAAGGAGAGACAACTAGTGATTAAAAGACTATGTTTTTTCAATTGAAATTGAATCTAGACTTCTATTGACAATATCGAAGAATGTATATGAATGCAGTGCGAGTTATCTTAACATCTTGCATTTTTATAGTTATATTGCTATTAGTATATGTGTATTAATCTTTTTTTAGCAAATTAAGGGTAATATTGACCTTTGAAATATCATTGCACTGTAAAACTGCATTTTATTTTATTAATTTACATTTGCATACGCACATTACGTTTCTTTCATAATCGGAAAAAGCAAATAGAAATATGCAATGATGAGTTCTACGAATGTAATAGACTAAGTTACGTCATCATAAAAAAAATGAACATTAATCAATCTGAAATATCATACATCAAATTTATCTTTAAAAGTACCAACAATGAACACTGACAAATCATCATCTTCCTGAGAATGAGTTTTATTCAAGCATCGTATCAACTCTGGCCAAAATGTCAAACCACCTGCAATAAATGACCAACATCTATAACAAAGCTTTTAATAGAACTCATATAGACTAACTGTTTTTAGATTACAAAAACAATCGTATTAAAGCGAATACTGTTGGTTGAAATTAATTTGATTATCCGACTTTGTTTTGTTTTGCATTTATCATTTTCTAAATAGAAGACATTATACTGTTAATTTTGAACAGTTGTTTTATGTAAGGAAGAAATTTAAATAGATTGTAATAAAACTTATAGTTGCCTTCAATGATTCAGCACATAACTTACTATGAATATTTTCATCCATATTTTCTGTTACATTGACTGTCACAATATAAACAGCATTCTTTCCAAACAGGGAAAGATATGCAAAACAGCTTTCTTCATCTCCTGGTAGGTCCCATACTTCTATTAGTACAGTATCTTCCTCTGCCATATCGACATCGACAACTTCGCACAAATCAAAGTATTCATAATCTGGTTTAGACATCTCAACATAGGAGTCTGCGGATGGTGGTCTGACTATATTCATCTGTAGGGAATTATCATAAGTCAAATTTTTGTTCTGTGTATAGTCTTTTCCTAATTTTCTTGCTTTGACTTGATCTTTATATCTTGCCTCAGACTTTATAATTATTTCATTCTGACAGCAAGCGGTCAGAATTCTCTCATTTATATAAGTCTCTTCGTCATAATCTAGATTTTTTAAAAGAAAAATAGAAAAAAAGAATAAAGAAAAACAAATCAATTACAACAAAGAGCCGACTGGCACTTTCGGTATGTTGACTCATTTGTTGATCTTTTCTTGCTTATCATTTTAGCTATGTGAAGTGTCTATCTATCTATTATAGTTTTCAAGATGATATGCAAAAACACTAAAAATTAGTAAGGATCGTAAATTAAAAGAAACAATTTCAACAGGGAGTCGACTGACGATATCGGTCATTAGACAAATTTGTAGATCTTGTCTTTAAAAGTCATGAAATTCATTATTTATCTATAATAGTTTTTTTAGAATATTAAACAAAAACGCAAAAATGGTAAACCCCTGCATTAGAGGGCAATAACTCCTATCAGGAGTTGTCAGAAGATTACAGCCATGCTTATCATGTTTTCGTATCTTTTATTGCTGATCTTTTTTGGTATACTAATTGTCCCTTTATCTATAATAGTCAAAATAGGCAATCCACTGAAAAAGGATTAGAATCGTCATTAATGAGCGAAAACTCAAATATGGCGTCGACTGATGATTTGGCTATTAGACTTGGTAGTAAATATTATGTTGCTGATCATTTTTTATCATAAGATTTTATGTTTCTATTATAGTTTTCAAGATAATAGACAAAAGCACTACACATGGGTGAAATATGTTCATTAAATAGAGAAAGCCCCAATAAGGAGTCGGACGGTTTCGGCCATTGCATTTATTAGTAGATTTTTTTGTTTATCTAAAATAGAGGAGCGAAAGATATCAGAACGACATTCAAACTCAAAAGTCGAAAATTAACTAACAACGCCATTGCTAAAAAAGCAATAAAAAGATCAACTGACAAACAACTGTACACAAAACACAACATAGAAAACTAAAGACTGAGCAACACGAACCCAAACAAAAACTGAAGTGATTTCAGGTTCTCATAAATTTCTATATATCTATTATATCTATAATACTCTTTAAAATATGAAGTAAAAACGCAAAATAATTAAAATCGTCATTAAAGGGCAATAACTCTATTGAGGAGTCGTCTGACAATTTCGGTCATGAAATTTGTTTGTTGATTTTAACTTGCTAATATTTTTTTTTAATTATAAAATCCAAAAATCTATTTTAGTTTCTAAGATAAAGGGGAAACAGAAACAAAGACGATTAAAATCTTTTTGAGGCAAAAACTCTTACAGAAGTCGTCTGACTTTTTTCATGAAAATGGACAAAAAGTAGATCTCGACATTCTGTACATTTAACACCGTCACCGATTTTCTCAATCAATAGTAGTTTCAAGATAATGCACAACACTTGTATTTCACCACTATGCTCTATTTTTACCAACATTAGCAATGTTGGTTGGCAAGCGGGATCATTGGACACATTTTTAAAAACTAAATACCAAAATGATGATCGTAGGCAAGTTTGGTTAAATTTGATCCAGTAGCTCCAGAAAAGAAGAAGTTTACGGAAGACGCCATGTGATGAGAAAAATCATATTTGTGCCTCTGGGCCAAGTGATCTAAAAAATCAGTTAGAAATTGCATGACTCATCAAATTAATTCGACACTAAGTAAAAACATCACTTACATAGAGGCAAAAGACACAATATGCCGATCTAAGAGTAGTCATAGAGCTGGAAAAAAATCGCAAGCCAATATTAAATAAATCATGTTTATCTCTAATTTCAATTTTTTGGTTGTTGTCTTATTGAATTGACGTTAACCCCACATCTCCATATATTCATTTGCCATATACGATTTAAGAAGAATTTAAAGAAGAGTTTTGCCAGTATTATCCGTTGTTACACCAAGGTTTAGTCTGACGGAAAATTGTAATGAGTGATCAGGAATCGATAACTTACCACAAAAGAATTTCGCAACAAGTCATTTGGAGTTCTTTTGAAGATATTACTTCTCTAACCGCTTCATATTCGAGTCGTAAATTAGACCAAAATTAATCATAAAATTGTAAAGCAAAGCACGCATGAATTTTTTCTTACCATCTTTTTATCTAATTATACTATAAAAAGCGTTTCACTAGACAAAGATTTTAAGTTCCCAATACGAAAAAAAAATCAAATTTTTTTTTTATTTAAACTGGTAATGTAAGCTGTTTTTTCTATGTGTAATCGGTCCAAAAGAAACCCCTTTATTAACACATGTCGTCCTTTTTGATATCCTTTAAACCTTTTTAAATGGAATATTTATATTTCTATGCTTGGTCTCATTTAATTTTATGAAAATATTTAAATCAACAATGACGGATACATAATGGTCGACGAAGGACAACGGAATCAAGATAAGATAATACGAAGAGTTTTTATAAGATAATCCGAAATTTGGGTCTTCGGATCATACAAGGAAACATACTGAGTGAGGCGAGAAAAATTAGACATTGGCCAAATGAAATGAAAATAACTACAGTCCACAATAAAGCTACAGAGAAAGATATATTAGGATTGGGCACATAAAACAACCACTCCAGTGTGTAAACTCATGTCCTCTGAAAGGATTAACAGTTCCTGTTCAATTAGTAAGACATGTCTTGATAGTAATGTTAATCAAAGTCTAATAAAAATATCACTTATTATAAACAGTGGGTTGGTATGATAATATAAAGGTGACTACTGACCTTCTAAAATTCAAACTGATCTCACGCACGATACACGCACGATGAATGAACAATGAATGCAAGATGTATGCACGGTGAATGCACGATCAAGGATCCACGCACGATGAACGATGAGCGTTACACGGAGGATTAACGAAAAATGAATGATGAATGATGAACCCACGATACACGCACGGTGAATGATGAATGAACGCACGATACACTCATCATGACTACATTTGTATCTCTTACTTGTTGATATTTAGAATGAAAATAACTCTATTGTGAAACAAAGAAATTAGAAAGCTCACAGCGTCGATTTTCATTACCATTTAATTTTCATCACGGGTAGTAATCTCGTCATATCGAGGAGCGTTTAGTACAGTGATTTTGTCAAAGTTTGGTTAAGTTAAACATGACTGTGTTAATGATGACAAACAATGCCAAAATATAAACATTCGAATATTTTGTTAAAGGAACGTCTGACCATAAATTTCAGCTGGTAAGCATCTTTGCAGAATAATGCTTGCGTATGTCAAAATTTAAAAGTTGTGATTCGTTTCTAATGCATGAAGAAAAGTGGTTTGCTTACTGTCTATCACATATTTCGCTATGATATAAAACTGCCGTCAATTATTCCGAAAATAGCTACTCTTGCACACAATTTAAGAAAATTCTGTGTCATTGTTTGTTTCAGTCGTGTCATGGTTTATTTCATGTTCGACACGGTTCAGTTATGTGGTTCTTGTCGTGTATGAAGTAGGAGTAACGATCAAAATAAACAGACATTATACAACTATTGAAATACTTTTTTATAAAAACATTTTATTTGTAGTACAAAAGGACATATGCACGCACATTCAATGTAGTATTATATAATAAGTACATGCGGTTTGATTGCCAATGAGATAACTATCCACCTGAGACCCAAATGACGTACATGTAAGCAACTAAATGTCGCTGTACGGCCTTCAACAATGAGCAAAATCCATACCTCTTAGCAAGCTATTAGAGGCTCCGACAAAATTAAATGTAAAAAAATTAAATGAGAAAACCAACTTATACAATATTACAAAACACAAACATTTTTATTCGTTCGTAATAATAATTGATAAAAATGGACATTATATCGGCTTCCTTCTAATTCGAAATTGTGATCTTTCATATATCTAAATTCAGAACTTGGTGAGTATTTTTTTTAATTTTAATTTTAATTTTACTAGCTGATACGTTTTGCAACTTTAAGTAGACGTCTTTAACTATTTTACAAGTGATGCCGCTCATGATATCCCCGGCAGAGTCCATCATGGACAAACGCAGAAAATATTCTATGTGAAACAGAAGCAGCGCTTTCTGTTTTTGTAAATATTATATAAAAAGCTAGTTTAAAAGAGCAGTGTCTATTCAAATTATATCGCAGTAAAAAGTAAAATGACAAAAATACCTAACTCCGTGAAAAATTCTAAACTGAGAGTCCCTTAGCAAATGACAAAACCAAAAGCTCAAATACATCAAACGAATGGATAACAACTGTCATATTCCTGACTTGGTACAGGCATTTTCTTATGTAGAAAATGATGTATCAAACCTGGTTTTATAGCCAGCTAAACCTCTCACTTGTATGACAGTCGCATAAAATTCTATTATATTGACAACGATGTATAAACAAAACAAACAGACAAACAGGTAAAGATGTCAAAAATAGGGGTACAGCAGTCAACATTGTGTCATAATCTTAATTACTATAAAAACAAAAACAAAAATGTGTCAACAAAGAAAAACAAAAAGGCATATAGAAAAAGCACAAAAAATAGACTAAACAGTTAAAGTAATAATTTACAAAGACAAATACAAGAATACTATAGCATACCCCTGGTTCATCAACTTTCTGCTCAGACTCTGGTGACATTTTACAAATTCTGAGTAGCAGCTGCAAGCTCTTAAATACCGAATGAGTTGGGAAATATATATCCCATATGCAGGTGAAGTTGGTATGTTGCTTCTAAGGTGGGGGAAATTGATAATTTCAAAATTAAAATTTGTCATAGATTCTGGTACTGAGATAACCGCTCATGTCAAATTCGAGGTATAAGTCTAAAAACGAGACAGAGGAAGCCGTGTCTGTTGTTTCTTTAATTTCTAGTTCTAGGGGATATATCAATGAAACCCTATCAGAAAAGTTTGGATTGTTAATGAAAGAACATTATCAATATATCTGAATGTGAAATTAAATGATTTGGCTTCTTTGATCTTCTTGTTTATGACAAATGTCTGAAGGAACTCCGACTCATATGAAAATAAGAAGAGGTTGGCAAGGAGAGGTGCACAGTTTGTTCCTATAGGAATGCCGACAATTTGTTGAAAAAGTCGATCTCCGATTCAACAAATATGTTGTCAATAAGAAACTCCAGCATACTGATCACTTGTCCCTCTTTGTAGCATGTTTTGATTTTTTGTTCACTATTAACAAAATAAACCGTATGGTATCCCAAAGTTATAAGTTTATAGCGTATGCTACTATTCTTATGTTGAAAAGCATTGTGAATTATTTCTTTGAGACGATTTTTCAATTTCACATTGGGAATGGTGGTATACAAGGTTGAAAAATAAAAAGTTTTGATAGGACTAATTTCAGAGAAAGATCGAGATTTATTATTATCCAGAAGTTCTCTAGAATTTTTTTAAATCCACATATGGTTAATACCACTACGCAATTAAACAAGTTTTGATAGGATTAATTTCAGAGAAAGATCGAGATTTATTATTATCCAGAAGTTCTCTAGAATTTTTTTAAATCCACATATGGTTAATACCACTACGCAATTAAACAAGTTTTGATAGGATTAATTTCAGAGAAAGATCGAGATTAATTATTATCCAGAAGTTCTCTAGAATTTTTTTAAATCCACATATGGTTAATACCACTACGCAATTAAACAGTTTCACAGTATTTTTGAATACCCTCTGTCACTGCAAAAAGAATTTTTGTCAATCTAATGGACTATTATTTCGTTGAACCTGCAGATGAGCCGGCAATGTACTGTTGTTTGTACGGAATTTTATGAAGCTTAGGTATCCAATACAAACAAGTCCTCCGATTTACTGCTCAATGTAATGTTCATGAAGAACTTATTATTCGCCAAAATCTCATCCTAGACAAACGATGTTTTTGTATGTGGGATTACATGAGTGCTCATTTATTCCTTAAAATTTTATAAGACACTCGTAGTCGTACGATTTGCATACAAAGACAAGTAACGAAAAGTAAAATTGTTTAATGTACGCATTGCCGATTATACCCTCCAAATTAGATTAAAAAGGTTATTTTCTACTTAGTTTGTAAATTGTGTAACTTCGTTAAATAACTAGCGTTTTCACACAAACTATCAATATTAAGCTGAAACACATATATATTAATTTGGATCTAACCCATGACAAACTTGATCAAAACCATGACGAATTTCTAGACACTTAACCGAACCATGTCAATAGCTTAACCAAACCACAGCCATTTCGATAGTTTGCTTATTCTGCGTTTATTTCTTGAAAACAACAATTCCAATGTAGATCGTTTGACTTACAAAACAGATTCAAACATCTTATTTGCTTTTTATTTGCTCGTTTGAATAGAACTGATGCAATCTTTCTGGGAAGTAACTTAACTTAACCATGTTCAACTTAACCAAACTATGACAAAATCACTGTACTAAACGCTCCTCGATATGACGAGGTTACTACCCGTGTTCATAAGCCATAATAATACTTGTATGGTCCTTTATTTCGTCTAGGATATTGTTAATTCGAACCTTTGACATTCATTCTAATTATTCAAGTCTTATGAGAACTGTAGACGTTAGCGCGCTAACGATATCGGACAAACGGACAGAGAGACGTATGGACAAACGGACGCACGAACATCGGAATCCCTTATAATATCTTCAATTGCAAACAAGAGTGCACACGCTGAAATGTCTCGCCTTCTTTACTTACCATTGATTTAATGTTGATAGTCCTAAATATAAACCTTAACTACAAGTATAATATAAAACTTAACATGATTCAAGAAAATGAGGCCAAGGTCAGATAAACCAAACAAGAAATACATGTACACCTTGCAATCATTCAATACACCAAATATAGTTTACCTATTGCTTAAAGTTTCCAAGAAATAGACTTAACCAAGAAAACTATACATTGATCAATGAACCACGAAAATGAGGTAGGGGTCAGATGAACCATTCTAGACAGACATGTACAACTTACAATCAATATATGCATTAAATATAGTTGACCTATTGCTAATAGTATCTAAGAAACAAACTTATTCCTAAACGGAAGATTTTATACACACAGAAGAAGTATACTTAACAACAAAATTATTTTCATTTACCTGTGTATAACATGACGCAGGTTTTTTCAAAAGTGATGATTTTCTAAATATTGTTTAACAGTTCACAGTGGTATCATACTTTAACTTTGTTTCAACCTGTTTATTTACTTTTGACCTTAGTTATTTATCCCTTATAATTTTATTAACTATGTATTTGCATTCAGGTATCACAGATCAAAGTTATTCGTTCATTGTGTGTTAATTTACGTTTTTTGATTGAGTTAAGCCTTCCAATTGATATTTTAGTGTGTCTTTCTATGTTGTGATGTTATACTATTGTTTCAGAAAAAGGGAGAAGGTTTGGTACCATTAAAACGTTTAATCCCGCTGCAAATGTTTGCACCTGTCCTAAGTCAGGAATCTGATGTACAGTAGTTGTCGTCTGTTTATGTAGTCCATACGTGTTTGTCGTTTCTCGTTTTTATATAGATTAGACCGTTGGTTTTCCCGTTTGAATGGTTTTACACTAGTAATTTTTTGACCCGTTATAGCTTGCTGTTCGGTGTGAGCCAATGCTCCGTGTTGAAGGCCGTAACTTGTTCTATAATGGTTTACTTTTATAAATTGTTACTTGGATGGAGAGTTGTCTCATTGTCACTCATACCACATCTTCCTATATCTATTAACCATGAAAACTTAACATTGACCAATGAACCATGAAAATGAGGTCAAGATCAGACGATACCTTCCAGACAGACATATACACCTTACAATGATTCCATACAACAAATATAGTTGACCTATTGCTTATAGTTTAAGAAAAACAGATCATATCACAAAAACTTAACACTGAGCGATGAACCGTGAAAATGAGGCCAAGGTCAAATAAAACCTACGAGACCGACATGTACATCATAAAATATTTCCATACACCAAATATAGTTGACCTATTGCATATAGTATTTGAAAAAAAGATCATAACTCAAAAACTTAACTTTGACCACTGAACCATGAAAATGAGGTCAAGGTCAGATGACACCTGTCAGTTGGACATGTACATCTTACAATCATTCCATACACTAAATATGAAAGACCTATTGTTTATAGTATCTGACATATGAACCTGACCACCAAAACTTAACCTTCTTCACTGATCCATGAAATAATGTCAAGGTCACATGAAAACTGTCTGGTGGGCATGAGGACCTTGCAAAGAACGCACATATTAAATATAGTTATCCTATTACTCACAATAAGAGAGAAATTAACATTACAAAAAATCTTAACTTTTTTTTCAAGTGGTCACTGAACCATGAAAATGAGGTCAAGAACAATGGACATATGACAGACGAAAACTTCTTAACATAAGGCATCTATATACAAAGTATGAAGGATCCAGGTCTTCCACCTTCTAAAATATAAAGCTTTTAAGAAGTGAACTAACGCCGCCGCCGGATCACTATCCCTATGTCGAGCTTTCTGCGACAGAAGTCACATGCTCGACTAAAAAGCTGCATTACATTTTCACGTTATTTCCTATAAGTCTGTATTTGTCGTATAGATTAAGTATAATACTGGGTAATCAAGGGAATAATACAGGATACATCAAGAAAAGCTTGGACTCCTACTGCAACAATGAAACAAGCAAATTAATCATGTCGTTAAAAACGAGAACGATATTGAAAAATAGAATAACAAAATACCGAACTCCAAGGAAAATTCAAATAAAAAATTCCCTTATCGAATAGCAAAATCAAAAGTTCAAACACATCAAACGAATGGAAAACAACTATCATATTCCTGAATTGTACATGTATTTCATTATGTAAGAAATGGTGGATTAAACCTGGGTTGATAGCTAGCTAATGGCGGGATACACAGCCACGCCAAAAGGATAACACTAAAAATGGACCAAACAGTAAAGGTAATAAATAACAAAGACAAATAAAAAAACTTTATAACACGTAATTAAGATGATAAACAACGTTAGCACCTAGAATTTATACTTTAGACCATCATGTATTATTTGTGAAGTTGATATGGAATATTTATCACCAAGGTTTTGGTGCCTTCCAATGAACTTTTTTTTAGAAAAGGGACGAGACGTTCTTTGGCATAACCCTGGTTCACCAACTTTCTGCTCAAACACTGATGACGTTTTTTAAAATCTCAGAAGTAGCTACAAGCTCTTGAATATCGAATGTGTTTGAAAATGTATATCCCATATGCAGGTGGAGTTGGTATATAGATATTAAGGTGGGGGAAATTGATAATTTCAAAATTATAATTGTCTCGTTTGTCATAGATTCTGGTACTGAGGTGACCGCTAATTTCAAATTTGAGGTAAAATGAATTTATAAACAAAAAAAGTATAAATACCATCTAGGAATAACCAATGCCCATCTTCTACCCTAGCTTTGCATCTAAAGGGATGAATTTCCAGTGAATTTGATTCCTGGACTAAATCAGTTGTTTTCTTTAAAAGACGTCTAGTGAAAAGTGATTTTCCTGATTGTTTCTGGCCAAATATGACCAATCTGATTCTATTCCGGTTTTCTATGCCCTCCTTTAGAATTGTGTGATATATTTTAACAGCCTCGCCATTCAAAGCCTTTAGAACTTTTGGAACAGCCTTCTTTTGAACATATTGCCTGCATTCGTTTTTCTCTAAAAAAAAAGTATTACAAAATGGGAATATAATAATCTTATCTTCATTATTTTAATATGCACTAGCTGTCAAATTCATGTTCATGGATTTTCTTAGTTTCTGTTTGTTACCTTGATTTTGTCTGTTTTTAATCGATTTTTGAGTTTGAACATCGGTCAACTACTGTTGCATTAACAAAGAGTTCTGTTTTACCATGGAACCATCAAAAAGGTCCGACTTGAAAATGCAGTAATGTAAAGTTCTCACTAAGATTAGGTTTTGGAGGAAATAAAAATGCTTTCTGCTGCTTTGATGTTTTCAATATATGGAGGGATTTTTTTGTTTTTTTTAAATTAACATTCCATATCCCCGCTATTCCATTTAAGAAATATTTTCAATGCTTTAAGGAGGACATTAAGAGGGAAATGAAGCTATTGCCACTGTCGCATAAACTGTTCAAACAGGGGAATGTTCTGTTCAATCAATGATTTAAGGTCATCATTACGAATTAGCCGATACATACTATGTGATTATTTAATTAATAACCTTGAGAACATTTTCTCAAGAGCTAGATAGTCTTTACTCATTCTTACCTTCTACAAGATTTGGCTTATTACAGTCAATTACCATTTGCAATACGATAAGTCAAGCGAATGAAGCAGGTTATGCTAATCATTAAGAAGCACCTGGTATTACATCCGGAAATCTTTATTGTCCAAAGATCTATTTTGTTTATGTGTTTGTAATTCATTATAACTTTTTCTAATGTGTCGCTACACCCGACTCTTTTCCTTTAATTCTTGTTTTCCGTTTAATATACTCTGTAAACAATTTTAACAATGCGCTTAAATGGTTTCGTATCTTTTATCTATTAGGTAGAAACAATTAAAGATTTAACCCTAGTCCCTTAAAGTAACCCTTACCAAAACCTTTACCCCTAACCTGATCCTCCAATCTTTACCTAACCATGACTCTTATCTTCACTGGAACTTTAACCCTAACCTAAACCTTAACCTTTAACCTTAATTCTAACCCTTACCAAAACCACTGATCTGCCAACCTGCCGACGTGTTAACTTATCTACCCGACACTCTGTCTAACTTTAATCTAATAAAAACCGAATCACTCAATAACTTTAAATTTACTTTGATTCATGATGGAAAAAATGCATTCTTTTAATATGCAATTTAATTAGAATAGCTGAGTAATGTCTTAAGTCTTTTCGAAGTTACCCAACTTGTAAACCTGTGTTTTTTAAAACCAATTTATTCAAACTCTTAATTGCATAGTTTTGACGGTACTACAATTACGCAATCTTTACTTGGTCCGAATATACTAACCTTGAGCTAAATTAAACAAACCTTCTAGTTCATCATCATTAGTGCCTATCATTTCTAGGTAATCTACAAAAAGGTTTATAGTAAACATAACTTTCATGATGGTCTTTACTGATAATAACGATAATTTTTCTTATCATAAATAATATTATTCAGTATTATCATTGTTCCTGTTGTTGTTTTTGTTTTGGTTGTTTATGGTGGTTTAATTTTGGGTAAAACATATAGTAGAATTTTTACATTTTTCAGAGTTTCGTTAATAATTTCCATTTTTCGAGATAAATTCGTATATTTATAGCTATCAAGTTCTTTTATATCTTCTTTCAGTTTACAAGACTCATAGCACAATCTTTGATCAATCTAATAACTTTTCCCGTATATTCCATAATATATATAGAGTATAGTGCACATACAGGAACATTTCCGTAAATGGTTAAGTTTTATTAGTTTTGTTGTTTTCTTTTCTTTCATCAGTTTTAACTGCAACACAATATATAAAGATTCCGTATGCACCTCCTCTCCCCTCCCCTCAACGGTAGGCAAAATCCAAAATGAAAGCAGACGAACACATGAGAACCGAATCTTTCATTTGCTGCTTGGTCAATGTAAAACCAAAAGTAAAATTAAGTAAAATGCTTGACAACGCCTTATAAAATTTAAGGTAAATTTTAACATTTCAGGACTTCCAGCTCTGCAAAAGATAAGTAATTTTGACAGGAATGCAAGTTTACATTGATAAACCTGTGCAATTATAGATTCCATATTCGTTCGAACAAAAAGATGCCACTGCTGGTGGAGGTTTCCTCCCTGAGGGTAATACCAGTCCGACAGTCAGCACTTCTGAGTTTACATGAGGTATCATTGATATGGTCATAATTATAAATGTACTGTATACAAGCTTTGAATTGTTTGAAATATTTAGGACTTTGTCTACCCCTGGAATAGATAATCATAGCCATATTTGCCTACACCTTTCAGAATTTTGGGTCCTGAATGCTCTTCAACTTTGAACATTATTTTTCCTTTTTGATATGTGTTTTCAGCCGTATATCACTTTCAGTAATGATCCAATGGATAGCTCTGTCATAGAGTTGTCAATTGTTTAGACGTACTCATCAAAAATATTTAGCAAATCTGCAATCAATTCCATTATCATGCTTAATATATCATGAACTGTGTTACAACTCTAGATTTTTCTGGCGCGGAAAGGTAACACCAGGTCATCGGAAGCTGAAATATTAAGTTCAGTCTAGGTGGCTGGGTGGTCTAGAGCGATGAACACAGTGTAGGCGGTGTTGTCTCGATATCCTAAATAGCATGAGTTCGAATCCCGGGAAGAGCAAGAATTTATTTCGGCAAATTTATAAACAAGTCTAAAGATTTGCACAACGGTATTAATAAAAGATGGTAATATACGAAAATGATGTTATGAAATCGTGTTGACAAATATTTCGGCTTTACAAATATCCTTCATCAGTGTCAATATTTTTAACAATACTAATTGTATGTGTAAAATAGCTCAGTAATACAGGTAAATTTTGATCTATTGATTTGTGTACGACTTTGCTTCCAGCAGAGCTATAGAAAAACAGTACATTAACGGGTGTTACACGGACACTTTTTAGATGTTACACGGACACTTTTCAGTTGTTACACGGACACTTTTTATGAATAGAATCACTTGTGCATGATCAGTGAGTTCATGGGCACTTTAAATTTTAATTAGATTTGAACTTTTTGTTTCACCAACATATTTCCTGTCTTTTTAATTAAAAATATTTACGTTAGCATCAATAACTACATTTTTTTTCAAACAATTCCAGTAACTATTCATATTAGTACACTAAGGGGTTGACCATTTAACTTCAAAAGGCCGGTTATGGTTTTTTCCTAAAAAAACCCATTTTGATCCCCAATTTTATGAGAAAAAATGTATAATGGTCAAGCAGATGACACTGAAAATAATGTTCTGACTCCTGGTTTTCCGAATACCTTATATAATAGTGCTGATTTCGAAAAAAAATTATTTGGGCGATAGCGTTGATACACTAAATAATTTTCTTACTCAGAAAAGAACACACCCCCTTTTGAAGCTAAATGGTCGGTCCGTAAATGTATTTGTTTTTCAATATATGGACATGAATAGTATTCTGGACAATGCTGAAAGAAATGCTGGTACCAACGTTTATATTTCAATAAAAATACAGGAAATATATATATATAAATCAAATCTAATCAAAAGATAAAATCCCTATCAACTCACCAATGCACGATTGATCCTATAAATAAAAAGTGTCCGTGTAATACATGTTCAAATATGCAGCAAATCGTGAAGAAAATCATTCAACTTATGTCATCAATTTTGGACGGTAAGCTCTGATTGGATCATATAGTGACACATGTTTAATCCTGATCAACACTATCAGAGACATATAAAAACCTATAAGCATGAACATTTTTTTTTAATCCAAAACATATGCCTATATATATATATATATACATATATATATATATAACAAGACATAGACATGGCACATCCTGTATTTTTTCAACAAAAAAAAGAATGAAGCCTGTTTATTTTAAATTTATTTTAATCCCCATCCCAATAAAATCAAATGGTAGCTTGCTTACCTCTGAAATCTTTTTTATACATTACTTACTTGCGAAGTTACATTTCAAAAAGTCTCAAATGTGTATAACATTCACCTTTAACTTGAAATGGTTCTTTTTATAAAGTTATTAGATTCTTGAATTTTTTGAAAAAAAACTCTCGGCTTCATGAATGGAAGTGAGAAAAAAAATGAGTTTAAACTGTAACTTACATTAACTGGTATATGGCCGTTTAAGTTTCTAATATCTTTAGTTTTGCTACCTCTTCTAAATGCAAAATGTACTTCCTTCTTGAAACGTAGTACAAGTCAGATACAAAACAAAGGTAACAAAAAACAGGCCGGAAACAACCTGCCGTATAGTTTGTCTGCACTTGTAATCAGGTCAAGTCTTGACCTGACTACTCGTGCAGAAAAACTATCCGGCAACGGTTGTTACCGGCCTGTTTCTTTGTTACCTTTGTATTGTATCTAATACAAACCCTAATCTTGAACATCATTATATATATAAAAACTCAATACTCAACTAAACGTGACTGTGTATATGTATATCCCAAAATAAGTGTAAAATAAAACCGCTAGTATATCTTATTGATGCCGTTGGATGATGTACATTAAGTTCCTTTATCCAAAAGCTTTCCTGAACCTGTCGATGGGCATCACTCAAGTGAATGTTCTGTTCAATCACTGGGTTTTTCATGCGGTTAAAGTCATCAAGTTTATAACCCTACTGGCTGAAATGCTGAGAAACTGGGAAAGTGCCTTCTTATAGATATCACTCCTATGGCCATTGAGGCGTTTTTGGAAAGGCTGCTTTGACTCACCAACATATTGAAGGCCACAAACCGAACATTCTAGAATGTAAATAACATTCATACTTTTGCAGGTTACATTGCAAAATTTCCTATAGTTATTTTCGGTTGCCCTTACTGTGAAAAGTTGATGAGTGATGCATCTGTAGGCAGCGTTTTCAGCGTTTTTCATCACTTGAACGACATTCTTCAGAAGAACTTTTATGATCAGACACTTCAGCCCGTACCAGCAGGTTCCGCAGACTATTGGGTTGCCTAAAAACTATCATGGGGGGCTCGGAAAAAATCTTGGATAGTTTGGAATTCTTTTCCACTGTTTTCCAATGCTCAGGAATGACACCGAAGCTGTTTTTGAGAGATGGGTGGTAAATAAGAACACACAGAGTCCTTTTATTTTTCTTTTAATCTTTGTATTCTAACAGTTTACTCCTTGGGATAGTTTCCGCTTTCTGAAGCTTTCTATTAGCCCTTTTTTTTAAAGCGGGTTTCGAGTTGACTTAGTTTTTTCTAGTTGTTCGCTAGACTCTGAGTGCCTGACTGTGCAGGATGCTCTTAGTACAATGAGCAGGATGGCAACTTTTAGGGGACAGGTATTGGTGAGTATCAGTAGCTTAGAATATAGGTCTGTGGATATAATGCCATCTGTAAGGGAGCTGATAGTATCGAGGAAGGTGATTTTGGATTTAAATCTCTCATGAGTAAATTTGAAACTTTGATGTATGTTGGCATGAGTGATGAATGTATCCAAATCCTCGTCACTTTTATTCCATTTCATATCCAAATCATCTATAAATCTAAACCAGGAAAGCGGTTTTTTTGATACATTCATCACTCATGCCAACAACATACATAAAAGTATTAAATTTACTCATGAGAGATCTAAATCCAAAATCACATAGATATTTGAAGAAATTTTGTTTAAGCAAACAACAGTGGACAGAGCAAAAAAGAGCATATAATGAAAAAATATTAAAACATGTCAATAATTGTCGAATACTTTAAACATAAACACGCTATTCAAATAAACAAACCATCAACATGATCAGTGGAACAAGAAGTTTCCGTCTTTTCACTATCTTCCGATATTGGATCTAAATAACATAAAAAAAAGATATAACGTAAACAAAGTGACCATAAGAAGGAGAAGTAGAAGAAGAAGAAGAAGAAGAAGAAGAAGAAGAAGAAGAAGAAGAAGAAGAAGAAGAAGAAGAAGAAAAAGAAGAAGAAGAAGAAGAAGAAGAAGAAGAAGTGATCTGACATAATTTTGTTAATGTTTTGTTATTGCTGTTACCATTCCTTTTTGATGATATGAATTTTTCAAATGTTTGTTTTTTCAGTAGAAATCATTAGTCTCAGCTTGATATGATATAAGGTGAAAAAGAAGCCTTAAATATATAACAAAATAAGCGTAATGTCGAGATGATGTCACACTTTAAATTTGTAATGACCGATTTTTTTTTTCATTCAGCACCCATATTTAAACAATCAACCAATAATGATGATGACCGTAAAACTTATGTAGTGTCGACGCCAGTTGGTCTTCCTCATCACCCTATTTGTTATAGAACACTCTGTAAATGAAGTCAATATAGTATGAATATGCACAAGAGAAACGTATTTCTCAAATGAGATACGCTATCGCCAAAGGGTATGTTTCCACGCTGATAAATTTGAAGTTGACAATGGGGAAGCTGAATTTATCATGTTTGTCGTAGATTCAAATTTCTCTATCTGTGTCAAAATCAAGGAAAAGAACAAGATATGAAGCAACACTTTTAGTTGAGGTTTCAGTGTTCAATTCAAGTTCCTTAGGATTAATAAATGCAAACATTCACAAACATTTACATTTATGACATCTGAAAGTAAAATAAAAGAACTTGGCAGGATGATTTTAATTTTACCTATTATTAGTTTTTGTATTAATTCTCCTCCATATGAGTACAAAAACACGAAATATAAAGTCCTTAAAAAACATATAAAACAAAATTTAAAGAAAAAAACCCAAAAAAACATTGTACTGCTGATCATCAGCCTAATGTCTTAAAAGCATCATAATTTGTGATTTGGCTGTTTGATAACGGTTTTTGATTTTCGAATCCGGACCTTATCGTACCTTCTCCTTTTGAAACGTTATATAAACGACATTAGGAAGGACATGAATTACATCTACTTATTCAATAGTACTAGTACATATCCCTCACTTTGTAATACATTGAGTTAGCTAAAAATAAAATTAAATAAACAGACACCAGATTTTATAAATCTCAATTTTGCACAATGTTTATGGATTTTGAAGAATAAATAAGTTATATACTACATTACTGGTTTCGAAAGCACGTATAAAACATTAAATATGAATTTAAGTTGTATTTCAAATAAAATGAGACAAATTAAACACACTGCTGCTATATAGTTATTTTAACTTGTTGACAGTTTTAAAATTTATTCAAACACAACAAATAATTTAGACAGCAATCACGATGTCATGTCGAAGTAATAATAAAAGGATTTGCTTTGATTAGAATAATTTTGTAAGGTCCATCTAACATTCATCATTTGGAATATTAAGATGGAAGGGGAAGGGCACGTAAAAAACATAAATCCATATTCTAACATCAGTTTCAATCTACAGTTTACTTACCATCTTCAAATAGATACTTTGTTTTCCCGTCCCGAAAAACTTTCTTCATGAAAAAAAAAAAAGAAACAGATGAATAGGCTATTAATTCAAAACTATATTCAGTTTATACAACGGATTAATTTGGTTGAAAGTTTGATTTATCAGTTAAGTAAATATTTTACTTATAGGTATAAGTTAAGAGTTTCGTAAAAGATGTTTAAGTGAACAAAGAAATGAGTATTTCAGTTGAGTCAGCTCATTTTTTAATGCTGGGCATTGCACATTCCCTCTTTGACTTTAACTAGATATAATATTACTAATAACGACCATTCGGAACACTTATATAACTACCTATACGATATTTCACAGATCAATTCATCGCATAGATACCAGTATTTCTTGAAATGCAAAATGGATGCAAAAATACTAAATTGTACCTTGACGGGTTTTGTGAACGTAACAGGAAAATATCCGGTCTCATTTCCTTTGATACCAGTCCACCATCCTGAGGTATTAATTTCTTTGACAATAATTATGTCTCCTTTTTCAAAGGATAAATCACCTTTTGTTTCCGCATTAAAGTCAAATAACGCTTGAACTATATCAACATCATCTTGGCCATCATTTTCACCTTCCATTTTAAACACATCTGTATAAGATTGCGTGTGAAATGCAAATTTAAAATAGAAAACCGTGGGTAATTCTATAAATACTTATTTACCATAAATTACGACATAAATAGTCAGAGTTAGTAAAACAAGAACTAAAAGATGATAATGAATAGCTGTTTAACATCCAGCGCCATATATTAAAAATACATGTTCGAGACGAGAATATGCATATGTCATATTGATATTAACCCTGCTTTGTACTAGATCGACACGCTGAACTGGATTCTGTCGTACAAGTTCTCAAGTAATATTTCACAGAAAGACATGTCACCATGCCCAGACATATTCTGACTCCGGGTCGACCAGTCTTTGCTCTTACTACTTAATGCAATAAAACAAGAAGAAAATAATGATGCACAATATCAACTACCGTATATGAACTATTAATTTTATTTATATTTACTTTTATTAGATTCATACAACTTTAATAACAGCCCATATGTCCCCAGGTCGTCGTAATGTATTTTGACCTAAGCATTCCGATGACTTCTAATCTAATTCCAGTTATTACCCCTAATGTCTTTTTTCATATTGTAATTGTTTAAGCGTAAGTGAAAAAAACCTAATATCGTTCGCCTTTTGTGTCCTTGGTCCACAAAATGGAAGTTTAGGTAGATGTCACAGGTCGAGGTCATGTTCTAAATTATGATTAACTTGTTATCATTTAATTTATACACAATGTTGACTGTTATAACCCAATTTTTTACATTTTTACCTAATAATGTGTGTTTGATGTAAAGTTCAATTTCACCCACAAACTTTGTTTTAGTAGTCATGTTGCTAGTCATATATATATGTTGATCTTTATATGATTCATCTAATCTTGATCTCTTTTTCATGAATCATTGATGACGTTAAGTTTGTGTGACACATGTAACAAAACCTTCATATTACAGAATTTTGACATAAGTTCAATTATGAAAAATAAAACAGACGAGACATAAGCGAGTCCACTCTAGTTATAATATAAATACCTTCATCAAATCCGTGAAAGTTCTTAGATGGTCTGTTATTGCTTAGGGATAGTGACATGGGATCTACAATAGAGATTCAATTTTTGGTTTTCAAGTTTTTGTTGAAGAATATCTTATTAAAGATATTTTTTTGGAGACAATAACATATGTTACATTTTGTGTTAAAATGCTCATCAGATATGTTTTCAATAGATATATAACAGCTTTTTTAGAAACAAATTCATCTAGGAATCCAGGCTTTTAATTTGGTACGCTAGACGCGCGTTTTGTTTATTGAGGACTCGCCAATAACACTTGGATCAAAATAGTTGGATGGCCCAATTAAACCCATATACGATCCTGAATAGTATCAACAACCGAAAATTCTGAAAAAGTTGTGCCAAATACTGCAAATAAAAGAAAAAATCCCTGATGTTCTCTTTATAATTTTAATAACTTTTATCGTTAAGAGTGTAAGTCATTTTGACCAAAAGAAATTTTTAGCTCAACTGTCATCCAACTGAGTTTTTTAGTTTTTGTTCAGAAACCTTTGGTCCCACTGACACCAAATTTGACAATTATCTGCATGAATAAATAGAGGAATGGGCAAATTAAATTATTTCCATAGAGATAAGAAATTGAGTCGTTTTATTTTAGTTTCAATTTAATCCATTTCATCATTTTCACAAATAACCTTGCTAATTTGGCTGCGTAGGATTTAATATTCATATATTTAGTAAACAGTTATGACAGCATATGTTTACCAGGAATACATGTATATGTTACAGTGAATTTGTTCAATCAAGGTTTATGTAGAATCCCTAAAATGTTCAGGGATTATGTAGAATCACTGGTTAGTTAAGGGATTATATATAATCACTAAAATTTTCAGGGATTATGTATAATCACTAGAAAAAACGTGAGGGATTATACATAATAACTGAAATGAAGAAACAGCTTTGTGTATAAAGAATATAAATGAAAGTTTAATAATTTATTCTATCAAATCATATTAAAACTTCATTGTAAACATGATTTGTAAAATGTTAAGCACAATACATGTGTTTATTAAAATGTTGGGCACAACCTATTAAAATGTTACACAATATATCAAAATGTTAAGTACAATATATTAAACAATCATTAATACCAAAATTTATGATAAAAGAGATGAATTTTTCATTTCCTATTGTTAATTATCCATGGTGACGTTCCCTTGTAACCATCTTATTGTGTTTATATATCTCAACTTGTACGATTCGCTCGTATATGTAACAACGTATTAGATATTAGCGAAAGAAATCTGTGTTTTACTGAAAAATTATTACACCAGGGTTTTCAATATCACAAACTAGTCAAAACATTTACTAAATTTTATCATCGGTACAAGGACATCATTCGTAAATATGAATCAAAACGCAGACATCTTATACGTTCGGGTATTTCACATCCAATCTTTTATTGTAATATTCTTTACAAAGCACAAAAATGTCGGCATTCTCCTCAAAAGCTAACAAAACCTTTAAACAGACTTATTAAGAAGGGATATAGTAACGATACTGTTGTCAGGTCATTAAAGATGGCACATTTGGCTTTAATATTAATTCACTTATAGAGTCTTTGCATCAGAAATAAACACATTTATTCTAAAACCAGTTGTTGGCACGATACGGGTTATGTTCTTCTCATATATTTTACAATGGTATGAAACTTAATCCCAAACGGGAGGGATTGTGCTTGATATTTATCTGATGAAGACATAATCTTTCAATCAGTTTAATTCAGGTCTGGAGCTGGCATGTTAGTAACTGCTAGTAGTCCTCTGTTAATTTATGTATCATTGTCATTTTGTTTAGTTTCTTTTGTTACCTATTCTGACATTGGACTCGGACTTTTTTTAAACTGAGTTTACTGTGTGTATTGCTGTGTGTTTGATTTTTCTACATTTGCTAGAGGTATAGGGGAGGGTTGAGATCTCAAAAGAACATGTTTAACCCCGCCGCATTTTTGCGCCTGTCCAAGTCAGGAGCCTCTAGCCTTTGTAAGTCTTGTATGATTTTTAATTTTAGTTTCTTTTATATATTTCGGAGTTAAGTATGACGTCTATTGTTACTGAACTGATACACATTTTTGTTTAGGGGCTAACTGAAGTACGACTCCGGGTGAGGGATTTTCTGTCTGTATTGAAGACCCATTGGTGGCCTTCGGCTGTTTTCAACTCTTTGGTCGGGTTGTTGTCTCTTTGACACATTCCCCATTTTTATTCTCAATTTTATTAAATAAATTTGGATGGCATCGACTATTGCACATTTGCCCTGCTTTTCTACAGGCACTTCTATTTGAATCGCATCTGTTTTACCGCATTATCCACATTTTCAATAAGAGTGCACACGCTGAAATGTCTCGCCTTCTTTACTAACCATTAATTTTATGTTGATAGTCCTAAATACAAAGCTTTACTACAAGTAACACATAAACTTAACATGATCCAAGAAAATGAGGTCAAGGTCAGATAAACCAAACGAGAAATACATGTACACCTTACAATCATTCAATAAACCAAACATAGTAGACCTATTGCTTATTGTTTCTAAGAAACAGTCTTAAACAAGAAAACTTAACATTGACCAATGAACCATGAAAATGAGGTAAAGGTCAGATGAACCATGCCAGACAGACATGTACACCTTACAATCAATTTAGGCATTAAATATAGTTGACCTATTGCTTATAGTATCTAAGAAACAAACTTTACCATGAAAACTTGACATTGACCAATGAACCATGAAAATGGGGTCAAGGTCAGATGATACCTGCCAGACAGACATATACACCTTACAATCCTTCCATACATCAAATATAGTTGATATATTGCTTATAGTTGAAGAAAAACAGACCAAAACACAAAAACTTAACACTGAGAAATGAACAGTGAAAATGAGGTCAAGGTCAAATAAGACCTGTGAGACTGACATGTACATCATCAAATATTTCCATACACCATTTATAGTTGACCTATTGCAAATAGTATTAGAAAGAAAGACCAAAACTCAAAAACTTAACTTTGACCACTGAACCATGAAAATGAGGTCAAGGTCAGATGACACCTATCAGTTGGACATGTACACCTTACAATCATTCCATATACCAAATATAGTAGACCTACTGCTTATAGTATCTGACCAAGAAAACTTAACCTTGTTCACTGATCCATGAAATGAGGTCGAGGTCAAATGTAAATTGTCTGACGGGCATGAGGACCTTGCAAGGTACGCACATACTAAATATAGTTATCCTATTACTCATAATAAGAAAGAAATTAACATTACAAAAATGTTGACTTTTTTCAAGTAGTCACTGAACCATGAAAATGAGGTCAAGGACAATGGACATATGACAGACGGAAACTTCGTAACATAAGGCATCTATATACAAAGTATGAAGCATCCAGGTCTTCTAGCTTCTAAAATATAAAGCCTTTAAGAAGTTAGCTAACGCCGCCGCCGCTGCCGGATCACTATCCCTATGTCGAGCTTTCTGCGACAAAAGTCGCAGGCTCGACAAAAACCATGTCCTTTACATATCGATAAAAATTTTACGGCACTTCTTCTTCAGAGAAATGAAATTTTCATTACAAACAACTGATTTGTTATAAAAAATAGTATACTAATGAGACGCAAATTGTATAAATGTGCATATCATAAATGGTACTTTTGTTTATGTATATCTAGATTTTACAGCTTTTGCTTTTTGCAAAATATATTTTTTTCGTCAGATATTTAAGATTATTTTTTTAGATTTCTGCCCCAAAACCCCCTTCCCTTCCTATAGTAATGAATAATGCTGTAAAGAGTGTAATATGTATGAAATATAAAGGATAGTAGCAGCCTTAAAACAATTTTTTAAATATTTACTTTGTCAGCAGATAGTAATAAGCAGGAGTTTTGTCTTCTTTAATTGGTTCTTTTGTCATCAAAGTAAAAATACCATTGTATTTGTTCCTTGTCCATATCCTGTTTTTTTGTTTTTTTTTCATCTGCCATACTTATTTGTTTGTGAAATAATGTGGTTCAACAGTTGAATAAAATATCACTGCTAATTTGAAAAACCTGTCCACTTAATTTGATTTTTTTTATTATTGATAATCCCTGAAATCCTATTAGGGAATTTGTAAAATAATTAGTAAAATGTTCAGTGATTATGTAAAATCACTGGTCATTTTCAGGGATTATATATAATCACTAATGAGTTTAGTGATTCAACATAATCCCTGAAAAATCAGGGATTCTACATAATCCTTGATTATAAAAATTCACTGTAACATATATGCATAAAAGTTTTTTGAGGTAGTGGACAGAATTATATTACGCACAGCTAAAAAAAAAAAAAAAAAAAACGATAAAAAATAACTGTATTGTTTATCGGTTTCGTCCATCTTTGACTCGAGCTCAAGACTATTCTAATATGTTCTTGCTTTTAAATTTCAAGTTAATATATATATATAACAGTGGATTGCCATAATTGTCTGCCAAAGTTTTCAGTAACCATAATATAATTTATATCTATATATATTATGTATCATTGTCATTTTGTTTAGTTTCTTTTGTTACCTATTCTGACATTGGACTCGGACTTCTTTTAAACTGAGTTTTACTGTGCGTATTGCTATGTGTTTCTTTATTCTACATTGGCTGGAGGTATAGGGGAGAGTTGAGATCTCACAAAACATGTTTAACCCCGCCGCATTTTTGCGCCTGTCCCAAGTCAGGAGCCTCTGGCCTTTGTTAGTCTTGTATGCTTTTTTAATTTTAGTTCATTTATATGTTTTGGAGTTTAGTGTGACGTCTATTTTCACTGAACTAAAACACAATTTTATTAGGGGGCCAGTTGAGAACCACCTCCGTGTGCGGGATTTTCTCGCTGCGTTGAAGACCCATTGGTGGACTTCGGCTGTTGTCTGCTCTTTGGTCGGGTTGTTGTCTCTTTGACATATTTCCATTCTCAATTTTGTTTAAAAAAAACTTTGTTTGCAATACCACAAAGAAATACGAATACGTTCTGCTTTGAATACGAACAATTACAAATCTTTTAAATGAATGTTTATCAATTTTTGGAATATTCTTTTTAAAATATTAAAATATATGTATTTGGAATATAAAACGAAATTCCCAAGTTTAACTTATTGCCTGAAAATTTCAGGCAATAACTTAATGCCTAGGCGTTAGCCTATTGCCTAGGATTTAAGCTTAATGCCTAATTTCACTTATTGCCGATTACATTTACATATACATTTAGAAATATATTTCAGATTATATATTTACAATGAAATACATTTAATTATGTAACATATTGATTACGATAAAGCTGAGACAAATTAATGGCAAACCTTTATTATTCATTTGTTATTTATTCTTTTGTCTCAAGGATAAAAGTTAAGGACAAATATGAAAAATCTTTTATGAAATAAATCTCCTTAAAAGACTGCAAATTCCACAATGACAATAATGCCATTATACCCTGTTCACAAGCATGGTTGATTCAAATCGAATATTATAAAATCCGATTTATATCTGGATTTATGGTATCGGAATTGAATCCTGTTCGTAGTTCTGTGATAACTTTTTTCGATCAAATTCCGCATACGAGTTAACTAAATGTTCATGTAGAATGCATACATATAAAAAAGAAGATGTGGTATGATTGCCAATGAGACAACTCTCCACAAGAGACCAAATGACACAGAAATTAACAACTATAGGTCACCGTACGGCCTTCAACAATGAGCAAAGCCTATACCGCATAGTCAGCTATAAAAGGCCCCGAAATGACAAATGTAAAACAATCCAAACGAGAAAACTAACGGCCTAATTTATGTACAAAAAAATGAACGAAAAACAAACATGTAACATATCAACAAACGACAACCACTGAATTACAGGCTCCTGACTTGGGACAGGCACATACATACAGAATGTGGCGGGGTTAAACATGTTAGCGGGATCCCAACCCTCTCCCTAACCTGGGACAGTGGTGTAACAGTACAACATAAGAACGAACTATAAACATGTCTTTTTCTGGTTCGTAAAAAAGTAATAAACGAGAAGTATTTGCAATGCTATAGTGCATATTAAGATATGCATTTAAGTGCACAAGTATAGTTATTCGAGACTCAAATGTAATGTAACTTGAAACATATCTACCTTCCAATAGTGGTTTAACATTGGATTCACAAATACACATTTGAGGTATAAATGAGAACTAGACACACTATTTTCGCGGTTTAACCGTCCCAGAAATACTTAGATGTATTTTCATAAACACTTATTACATCTAGTGCATATATGATAATTTTTCACAAAATTTTCCATTAAATTTTATTTTTGTTTGTGAATTGCTATTTATAAAAATCGGAACATCTTGTATGATTGCCAATGAGACAACGTTAACTCTCCACAAGAGACCGAATGACACAGACCTTAGTAACTATAAGTCACCGTATGGTCTTCAACAATGCAAAGCCATACCTCATAGTCATCTTAAAATTTATTACATTTATTACATTATTTCCTATACAAAGTCAGGAATATGACAGTTGTTATCCATTCGTTTGATGTGTTTGAGCTTTTGATTTTGCCATTTGATCAGGGACTTTCCTTTTTGAATTTTCTCGGAGTTCAGTATTTTTGTGATTTTACTTTTTACTAAAATTATCAAATGGCTTGAAGGCTTATTGTTTTGCTTTCATTTATTTATTGATCTAGTTATAGTTTTATCTCATGTACACCGACAATATTAGACAAAACATCTTAATTCATTTGTAGTATTTTTGTCTTGTAAACTTTTACACTTACCATTCATTACATCTTTTTTTCGTAAATTTTCCATCATGTCCATGTATGAATCACTTTCATTAATTGGTGCTGATGATGATAACGTTATAGTATGTTGTTTTCTGTCCTTATCTGCTACAAAAAAAAAATCTGACAAATTACCAAAGCGTCCCTCAAGTTTTAAACTTGATAAAATTACAAAAATGTAAAACAGATTTAATACGCTGGATTATTATTATACATTAAATATATCAGGGAAAATGAAAAAACAAAAACTTAAGATTTCGGATTTTCAAGTGAAAAATAGAAATCGTTCAAAAATCCAAACATATTAAACACAGAAGTAATGCCATTTTTCAAAGTGTCAATATCAAGATACTAGTTTTTATTTACTAAAATCATAGACCCAAAGTATTTTCTTTGAGATTCCTAAAGATTGTCCATAATTCTATATTTTTTTTATCAGAGGAATATTTATCCTGACAGCTTTTGCTATTTGTTGAAGGGCAAGAAACTATCCATTCTTTATTTCTTTCTCCTTCGGTCTTCCAAAGATATTCTCATTTGCATTCTCACAAAACTCTTACTTTTTATTTGTTTAATTTGAAATAATGTACCACAAGTGTGGTAATAAGCAATGTGCAGTGTTCAATTTATAAATGGATGCAAAACTGTTGAAAATTAGGTTTTTTTTAATATATCTTTTAAATTCTTGAATATTTTTTAAAAATTCTCCTAGGTTTCTTCAATTTCTCAATTTCGATTCTATAAGTGAAATTTATACTTGTACTAACAACATTAGCTTTAACGAAGTCAAAAGTATCATAACTACAATTTCAATTAAAGTCAAATCGACCATACTAGCATTTAAAGACCTAAGACCGTGAAAACGTTTCGCCAGCGAGCGAAGACACCGACACAGAGTACTAATCAACAACTTTTCGAGGGTAACCACTCACAAATCTGCTTGAGCAGCCGCTGTGTTAGGAGCACGCCACTGTCAACAAAGCCCATAACGTGCTAAGAAGCATAAGCGCAGTGTACTAACTTAGACTGACATACGTCACACGATGATCAGTGGGTATGCCACTGCTGAAAAATTGAAAGTTGTCAATTTGAAATCTGAAATCATCACGTTTGTCATAAACTCTAGCCTGAAGTCATCAATGTGTGACCATATCGAATAAAAAAAACCACGACACGAAGAAAACACTTTATTTTCGGTAGTTTCTCCAATCTCTAGTTAACTTGAATATATGACAAATAAACTCATTTTGTATTATATATTATTGACAGCCGATGACAGAGATATTTATGCAGACATATTTATTAGTGCATTAAAAAGGGGGCTCATATGAGCCTGTATAGCTCAAGTGATGAAATGTTTGCCTTCTGCTATTGAGGACCATTGATTGATAATCTAGTTATTTGTTTGTGTTGCTAGTCATTTGTGAAATTTACGTTTTTACCTTAGTCTCCATATTTTAGAGATAACAGCCTATAGTTACAAAACCGGTTGTCAGATTTTTCTTCAATTGTCAGAGTAGATAGATCTTGTCATGTTGATCATTTTTGTAGTTTATGTTTTTATATTTTAATCCTTTGGGAGAACTTTCGATCCCCACGTTTTTGGCGGGTTTCATGTTGTTCAGTACGTTGTTGCCTGTATTGTGTTTTTTTGTACTCATGTTTGTCTGTTGGTCTTTTTCTTTTTAGCCATGACGATGTCAGTTTATATTTCCACTTATGACTTTTATGTGGAGCAGGATCTGCTAACCCTTCCGGACCACCTGCGATCCCCCCAAGTTTTTGGTAGGGTTCGTGTTGCTAAGTCTTTAGTTTTCTATGTTGTGTCTTGTGTTCTGTTGTTTGTCTGTTTGTCTTTTTTTTAGCCATGGCGTTGTCAGTTAATTTTCGATCTATGAGTTTGAATGTACCTCTGGTATCCCTCGCCCCTCTTTTGATGTCCCAATTGTATATTTCGCCTCTCTCATAGAAACTGACAGGTAGATATATCTTCTTATAATTATTTTTGTTTTGCAATACACAAAACCTTGCTCCTATAACACTTTTGTCAACTGCTAAACACTTAAAAAAATAGTCAAATAAGACATTATATTGGCAATAAAAATAACTACGGAAATGGTGGTATGATGTTACTCCAAGGTAGATGTATGTTGTCGTGCTGATAAATAGACTGGCTTATAATGTGGCCTTGGGTTGTTTTCTGCTCTTTGGTCAAGTTGCTGTCTCTTTGACACATTTGACGTTTCCATTCCCAATTTTATAGCAGTAATCATTCTGTTTTGTCCCTATATTCCTTTTTTAGCCACAGTGGTCATGTTGAATTATCAATCTGGATGAAAATCACAAACAGTAGACATCCTATTGAGGAAGCAGACTAATGTTGGTCTTACTCCTTTGAGTGGTTTTAGAGAGGATGTTTTAAAGAAAATGTTAGAGACGACGGACGAACTGATGATGGACAAAAAAAGTGATTGCAATAGCTCACATGGCCCTTGTTTTTGTAATATTTGATCTTTATCTCTCAAAGTTTTTGTGAAAATCAGTTGTGTCTATGTTAAAGGAACACACATTAAAATACATGGCAGCATTATGTTAAAAATAAAAAAGAGTGTTTTTGTGACTTCCTAAGTTGCTGTAGTTAAAAGCATTTAATTTTAATCGTATTAGAATTAGTCGAGTTATTTAAAAGTTCTGCTTATGTGGCAAATAGACAGAGAGATATAAAGTCAGACGGATCCACTGACATGGTATTTCTAAAATACATATCAAAACTTTGTGCTCGGGGGTTTTTCCTGGCCACATGTGTTCAACCAACGTCAGTGTTTGTATTATGTTACATGTTGATGTATTTCTAATTTTGGCAAGATTGGTAAGTTTGACAGATGTTTGGCAGTAAAGCACCTTTTTCTTCCAAATTAATACATTTATTATCAGAGGATATCAACCCTGGAACCAGAACTTGTAAATAAAGGCAACAGTAGTATACCAATGATCAAAAGTCATAAATCTATTGAGAAAAACAAATCCTGGTTACAAACTAAAACCGAGGGAACACATCAACTATAAAAGGAAAACAAAAGAACAACAGGAACACTGAAGTTCAACAAAAACAAACGTCAACATACATAGAAGCGAACTATTTGAAAAATACAATAATGACAGAAAATTGCATTCTTTCACCATAAAATCTGGAAAAAATATTCATTAATTCAGCTCTCGTTTTTTTTTCTTAAAATTTAAATTAGTCAAAAGCATATTCTTCAAATAATTGTACCTGACTTCACAAAATCATATTGTGCAAATTGTCTGTTGCTATTATCACCAATCTGTCTCTTATCTTGTTCTTCTTCAAAGGCCTTGAGTAAATCGAATCAAATAATAAAGACAGGAAAAGACAATAAAGAGTTACATTTTATTAGTATTGTGAGAAAAAAATTGGTGTTAAATTACCAATGTATACTCATGTGAATTTCACGTGAAACCGTTGAAAAGACAATAAAGAGTTACATTTTATTAGTACTTTAAAAAAAGATTGTCAAATATCCAAAATATGCTCATGTGAGTTTCACAGGGAAAAGACAAAAATGGTTCCATTTTATTAGTCTCATAAAAAAAATATCCAAAGTTTCCTCATATGAATTACCCATGAAACCTGCTCAATAAAATTGAGAATGGAAATGGGGAATGCGTCAAAGAGACAACAACCCGACCAAAGAGCAGAAAACAGCTGAAGGCCACCAATGGGTCTTCAATACAGCGATTTTTATTTCACGTTAACGTTTACATGAAGTGGTATGCAGATTAATTTTATGTTAACTGTGTAAATATCACGTGAAACACGTTCAATGTTAATTCCACTTAGATAAATGAAGTGAATTCACATTAATTCTATGATTGTTAACGTAATTTCTTACGTTTGAATTGAATGAGAAATTATCATGTTATTTTCACGCGAAAAAGTAATAATTGTATCTTATTCATAAATCAATAAATAACGGTAAACCTTAAGATAAGCAAAGTTGTAAACCCCTGTTATACATCTACTTGTTACACGTATGAATTGTGTCTGGGTGATCAAATAAAAGTTGTAGTGTAAAACAAAAAAATACTGCTTAAAAAAATGAAAAAAAAACCCGTAAAATTAACATGTTTAATATATGTGAACCAGTGTTCATTGGAAATTGAACTGAAAAACGTAGTATTTATTTCAAATGAATTAAAACTTGAAATTACTTTTAGAAATAATAATTTGCATTCTAGAGTGAACGTTTTGTAGCGAGAAAACTCATGCACAGGAATCGCAAACGTTTTCCACAAATTATTTAAAGTTCCCTTTTCAGACAGCCTTTAATAGAGACTCACAATTTTAAGAATATGTAAAGATATAATACCTATATGCAAATTAGACTGTTAGTTTTCTCGTTTGAATTGTTTTACATTTGTCATTTCGGGTCCTTTTATAGCTGACTATGCGGTATGGGCTTTGCTGTTGAAGGCCTACGGTGACCTATAGTTGTTAATTTCTGTGTCATTTGGTCTCTTGTGAAAAGTTGTATCATTGGCAATCCCACCACATCTTCTTATTTTATCTATGCAACTATTTATTTCTGTGAGTTAATCTCATGCAAATATGACAGAGATAAAATCAAAACTTTATTTTCAAAAGTAACTATGATAATTCAGAATATCTAACTTGAAATAATATAAATGAAGTAAAACAAATGATGAATAAAAGATAAAAAAAAAGTACAATATACGAAAGTATAAACAAATATACCGAACTCAAATGTAAATTAAAAAAGGGGGAGCTTGATAAAATCAAACGTTAAACTCTGTCCACCTACGTGACGAATGGAAAACATCTGTCTTATTCCTGACTTGATACAGGCATTTTCCACAGACAATGGTTTCATGAATAACAAATAAAGAAAGAAAGAAAGAAATTAAAAAAATAAATAACTCAATAGATAAAGCTTAGCGATGCAATTATAACTATCATTTATTTAGGGTAGAACTGTTAAAACTGTGTTTACGTAGAACAGTCATAATCAGTTCTATGTAAGCACTGTCTAACATCATTCGTAAAAGGTTGATCCGTATTTGGTACTTTGGAAGTTTTGTGTTTTCTATGCTCTTCAACTTCCTAAATGATTTGACCTTCAAACTAGTTTCATACGTCGCTGATGAGTCTTATGTAGACAATACGCATGTCGCCTGATATCTTTGATACGTTTTTTAAAAGCATCTTGGTTGACGTAGCTGCTCGTGAATGTTTCGTACCTAGGAGTATCATAAACCCAGTAGACGACACTTTTTGGTTAAAATGAAATATCATTGATACTTTCAATTTCTGTACATTACACTTAGCTGTTTTTGGCATAACCTTTCAGATTTTTAAAATGTTCTATGTTATAGGGATTTACTATAAACAATAATTCATTAATTTTTCATAGTTTGAAACAGTATTTTCATACGCTACATGTATAGCTGTAACCATTTACTCCAAAACATGTGAATTCTCCATTTACACCGGTGCTTAAAACCCTTACTCAAATTAATTACAAGACAAGTAAAGTTGTGGCCTTTGAACCACACATATATATGTTTGAACCTTTGAATCCAAAAAACAATTAGTCCAAGATTCAGGCGAGGTTGTAGTATATAGATAAACAGATTCAGAACCAAAATGATGTTATTCAAAAATTAATAAATTTGGCCTTTTCAGCAGATCAACCCTAAAAACCGAGTCTTAGCCTCCGCAGAATATATTTTTCAAGGGTTAACATTCTGCCTCAGTTCTGCGACGGTTGTCAAGATTGTTGGCAGAATAACACTCCTTTAATGAACTGTCTTTGAAAAGTGTTATTTTTATACTGTTACAACTTTCATTTTGAACTTTATGGTTATGAGTTCAAACAATTTCAACTTAATTTGTTGTTCATAAATAAAAAAATTTAATCAAAATCTCTTTATTTGTCAAACAATAAATATGATATTGTATTTACCTTAACAGTAGTGAAATCCTTGTCATATACAACGAATCTAACATCCTGCAGTGGAGTATTTGGATGGCGTCTGAAGAATGTTTCCACACAGGAAAACATAGTGTTGGCCACTTGCTGTTTAGGATACCCAAGGTGACCTGTTCCAAAGGCCGGAAAGGCAATAGAAACAAATTCGCTTTCGTTTGCAGTCTGAAGACAAGACTTCATGAAAGTATCTATAACCTATAATTGAATATTAAACAGTTGCATAATGTAATGGTTCGATTTCGTTTATTTGCTTTATTTGTTGATCTTGTGTTGATGGGAATTTTTACTTTTCAAAGTATTGGTGTATATATTCAAATCTTTAAGATATGAGGTAACATCTCTTATATTGGTCAAAAGTTTTCTTTTTAGGGCTATCTCAAATAAGGAGCGAATGAACAATTTCAGTCATAAAACTTGTTTATAGGTCTGATTTGCTGATAAGTTTTGTTTTTAACAGTTCTCTATTTATCCTATAGTTTTCATCAAAATCGGATCAATTGAGAAAAAAAAATATCACTGAACGAAAAATATCCTTTAAGGTATCGATTTTTCAATTGTTTTAGCAATGCTGACGTACTTTTAATTTTCATTAGCTTATCATATTGCTATTTATAGTTTCTCAATGTTCTAAAGCCTCTGACAAAAACGCAATGCGAACGACCACAATTTATGAAGTTATTTTTATTCCAAAGAGTGATCGCGATATGTTTTGTTAATGACCTCCTGGTTTATTACAATTTCCATTTGGTATTAGTGGTAGAAACATAATCATTTGTAACGTATGAATTCCAATTGCTTTATACATGGTGTAGTCAGGTAAAACTCATCAAAATTTCGTGAAAAATTCTAACGCCTACTTGGTTTCAGCATTATGGTTATACAGACTTATTCGGAAGGGACATAGTTACGATACTGTTGTCAAGTCATTAAGAATTGCATATTTTGGTATTAATATTGATTCACTCATAGGGATTTTGCATCGGAAATAAACACATTTATTCTAAAACCAGTTGTTGGCATGATACGGGTTATGTTCTTCTCATATATTTTATGATGGTATGATACTAAACCCTTAACGGGAGGGATTGTACTTGACATAATCTTTCAATCAGTTTCATTGATGTCTTTAGCTTGCATGTCAGTAACTGCTAGTAGTCCTTTGTTAATTTATGTATCATTGTCATTTTGCTAATTTTCTTTTGTGACCTATTCTGACATCGGACTCTGACTTCTTTTGAACTGAGTTTTACTCTGCGTATCGCTGTGTGTTTCTTTATTCTACATTGGATAGATATATAGGGGGAGGGTTGAGATCTCACAAAACATGTTTAACCCCGCCTGTCCCAAGTCAGGAGCCTCTGGTCTTTGTTAGTCATTTATGTTTTTTAATTTTAGTTCACTTATATGTTTTGAAGTTTAGTATGACGTCCATTTTCACTGAAATAGTACACATTTTTATTAAGGGGCCAGCTGATGCTCACCTCCGTGTGAGGGATTTTCTCGCTGCGTTGAAGACCCATTGGTGGCCTTCGGCTGTTATCTGCTCTTTGGCCGGGTTGTTGTCTCTTTGACATATTTCCCATTTCCATTCTCCATTTTATGTTTGTCATATACTGGTGATTTCATTAGCCAATATAGATACTGATCTGAATGAAAACACATATTCCGTATGGTATTGCTTAAAAGAGAGGCGGAATTTAACAAGTAAGATTTTTTTAAACTCATGAATTGAAGAAAATCTGACACCACAATGACAAAAAATAAAAACAGACGGAAAGAAAATTAACAGTCTACAAAAGTACAAGATAGAAAACTAAAGACCAAGCAACATGAACCCCACCAAAAGCTTGGGATGTTCTAAGGTGCTCCGGAATGGGACACATATTATGCTTCACATGTGACACCTGTCGTGTTCATCATATAAGTACCTTTAAAGGATAACTGTGTTACTCTACCGCCTTATAGCGTAAAATAATTTAAATCGCATTTTTTTTAGTATGAATATACATAATAGTGATCAATGAAACGTCAACTCAAAGACAACATTAAATGTAGAGGGCAATATAGTTTTTTTCCCTTTGTAGACATTTTGAGGACTTACTGGCTTACATATTAAATAGCAAACGGCTGTTTTAAATGATAATCATATTAAGGTAATGACACACACATGTCAACTTAAACCATTAGAGAGATCAAATTCAGGATTGATATATGATAAAACGTTACATAAAATCACCAGATGATGTCCCAATATTCTGAATATAAAAACTGAATAAACAATATGAAAAGTTGTGTCCCGGACAGGAAACCCGGAAATGTCTCAAAATCAATTATAATTTATTGATAAAAGATATATCAGATGTCTCAATCAGAGACAATCGGAAATAGTACGAGATAATCCATCATTAAATCAAGGTCAATATCAAATGTACGAGTCCATTCACTTGTGATTTATTTGCCGACAGTAGAAATGAGAAGGTATCTAGGTTTTTCTCAAAGTTTTTTACACCTGGTACCTCCGGTGTTGATGTATTTGCATATAACTTGTCAGCATTTAATAACTGGATACTTCCTCCTATTTTTTTTATTAAAAGGGTTATTAATTATATGCATATGTGTAAAGCAAAAGGTACATTAGTGGTACCTAAATGGAAATCAGTTGTTTATTGGCCTATGATTGTGAAAAGTTTAACATATGAACATAAAGGCCATATAAAAGATTTCCGTGAGTATAGAAATTAGAAATCATTTTTTATACAAGGATCGGATGAAAACAGTATTTTTGCTAAGCAACCATTAAACAGTAACGTGTTAGTGTTGTTAGTTGATTTTACTACTTAGTAATTTACAGCGGTATACTACTGTTGCCTTTATTTAGATGATTATCTACTTAGATACACTTATATGTGTGTATGTAACACAGTGTGAAATGTTTATTTGTGAGCAATATAATTGTTCTGTGGCATAATATACAGTATTATGATGGACTATGTATGGACTTTCATGACCTATGTTCCACAGTGTAACATAAAGAATCACACAGTGTGATTAGAAGTTAATGTATGTAGATATGAGATGTATATATTTATAGAAGTTTAATGTTTATCTAATTAAGATACATGTGTATATGAAGATTTTGATTTGTTTTTTTCTATTTAAAGACTCAATGGAAACAGTTTGAGACATTAGCCAATGATTCAAGATTTGTCAAAATTGTCAGTGCATAGTTCAAAATCTGCTTAAAAAAATATAAATTTTATTTTGGAAAATTTTGTGTTTTGTGTTCCGATTGTCAACTTGAATTTTCTCCAGCAACTTCAACTACAGTATGTTTGTATATCGGTTCACTGATACAGCGAGGTGTTAGCGTGTCTGTTTTAGAATCTAACTTTTATTCCATTAAATGGTATCATGACATTTACTATAAATACAATCCTTGTTCTGATAAGTTGTTATCTATTATTTTAGAAGGCGGTCGTAGAATTTTGAGTAAACCCATCAACAAAAAAGAGCCTATTGCACTGACATTTTAAAGTAAATTGTGTTTAGATATGGCTCTGAACATGATTTGTCTAAATTAAGAGTGTGTTTACTAGGTCTTCTAGGATTTTCCGTTTTCTTGCGCTAAAGTGAGTTAGCAAATATAAAAAGAAATAACATTGTTTTCTACGATACTCATGTTGAGATTGCTATTGATAAGAGTAAAACAGACGTTTATAGAAGAGGAAACAAGGTTATAATCGCTCGGACCGGGAATGAAATGTATCCTGTTAAGTGGTTAAAGATTTATTTGAAATTAGCTGGTTTAGAATCTGATTTAGATTATTTTATTTTTCGTTCATTGTCCTTTTTGAAATCACGAGGTGTTTACAAGCTAAGCAAAGACAATACATCCTTATCGTTCACTAGAGCTCGTGAGATAATACTTAAGGCATTGGAAGATATTGGTTTGGATAAATCTAAGTTCGGGTTGCATAGTCTCAGAAGTGGAGGTGCTACCTCAGCAGCTAATAACGGGGTTTCTGATAGATTATTGAAGGCACACGATATATGGTCATCAGATCAGTCTAAAGATGTTTATATAAAGGACAATTTACATCGTCAGTTGGTAGTATCTTAGAATCTTGGATTTTAATTCTGAACTGTTTCATTTCCTTTTTTCGATGTTACTGCTAGCAACTAATCCTATTTCTGTGTTTGTTTTGTTTATAGCCTATTAAATTTAGAGTAGAAATACTTTAAATTTGGACGAGCAGGGCGAGGGAGATTTTAAATATATCTCATTTCGTTTGAAATTGGGTTTTTCTCGTTTGCTAATTGTAGTAATTATATATAGATGGAAACTAGTGAAACTAGTTCTGAAACTAGTTCTGCAACAGTAAGTACTATTTATAAAGTTTGATATTAGGTGAATAAGGCACGAGAAAAGTTTTGGCGGTTTCTACGGGTGGGGTTTTGTGCTACTATATAAAGTTTGGCATTTAAATGTATTAGTATCAGTGGTGCTCGCAGTTACGTCGAATCAAAGTTAGTCACATTAGTATATATACAGTTGGTGCTATGTTTATTACATGTATTTATATGTTATTTGAATCGAAGAAATCTGTACTATAAAGTGAAATGAAATATTGTATCGCAAGAGAAAATAATATGTTACTGCGAGGAACTAATCCTATTTCTGTGTTTGTTTTGTTTATAGCCTATTGCATTTAGAGTAGAAATACTTTAAATTCGGACGAGCATGGCGAGGGAGAATTTAATGTGCTGTTATTTGTCTGTTTGTCTGTTTGTCTTTTTTAGCAATGGCGTTGTCAGTTTGTTTTTTTATTTATGAGTTTGAATGTCCCTTTGGTATCTCTTACTTCTTTAGACTAAATTTCAAGACAATTTGTTTTAAAATGTCATTTTATGGGAATAACTGTCATAATGAGTCACTCGACAATTAATGTAATGTCAATGCATTTGTAGATACTGTCTTACAGATCATTTTTGCTTTTTGCTCTTCATACTTTCTCGCTATCTTATTTTTGATATACAAAACAAAATTGTAATAAGGATAAAATCATCATCTAAGGACAACAACTTAGAACTTTAAAGATTTAATCGACTGTTTCGAAATTCCAGACTTGTGTAGATCCTTATTTACCTGACCATTTTTGCCGTTCGTGATACTTTGAACATCATTTGCCTCTGTAAATTGTCTTTATCTATTATTTGCGGATATTCATATTTAGTTGTTCGATATCAATTATCAATAATCTGGATTTAGTCATCTTGCATAAACTAAATTGACCATCAACAAATTGAAAATTATGGATAACTATTACGTAAGTTTAGGTACCAAATGAATGCAGAATGTAACCAGATCTCAATTTCAAATTCAAAGTAATGTGAACCAGTTATGAGCATCAAATAAAATATTTAACTTTATCTTTGAGATGACTTTTTTTTATTTAGCAAGGTGTTCTATAACCGTTGTACCATTGAATCATTACTAAGGTTGCTTTGATCCCCTCTAGTATAACAGGTAAAATATAGGGAACCGTATGCACGGTTAGTAATATCGACAGAACTTTAATACAGATTATAGTGATTTGTAGATTTATTTCACAAAGATATCAATGTATAATAAAAATAAAATATACCAAAACTTGCGGATGAACTACGACACTTCCCCGGCTGAGACGGAGACACATCTATAACGAATAAAAACAAACATTAAATATATGAAATGAATAAAAATCAAATATTGAATATGAATTAATTAAGGAAGTATGATAAAACATCCAAATGAAATCAGCACATTTATTCATATCCTGTTTTATAAGAAATTTACAGGTACAGCCACACCCCAAGACCAAAGCTTTGTATCTACGAAAGAATTTAGTTAAATGTTAAACGAAATCCATGACTTAAAGACATATGATACTTTTAAATCTAAAATGTTAATATTTGGAAACAGTTAAAACACTAAACAATTAAACAAATGAGAACGCATGGAAAATCATTAAAACACATTAAAACACATATATTTACCGTTTTTCAACTCACTTATTTTTACGTGCTCCATTATTCTGTGCTTATTGCTAATCTAAAACGTCTCTACAGACAATGACTTAGTGAACGAGCTAAATTATATATACACCATAAGAAAGACCACATTTACACAACGGTCCAAGGAAAGAAAATAATCTTTCTTTCGACGTAATTGGTTGCTTAGATTTTCACGTGTGAAAACGAAATAACCAAATATATACAAAGGAGAATTATTGCTGTTAATATTTTTCCTTGGGTAAATTTTAGCAGTATAATAAGAGAATTCTTGAATATTGAAATAAAAAAAACATCACCAAGGTAAATAAACTCATTATTCATACCTGGACAAAACAATTGTTTGTCAGACAGTAAAGTTGGGTGTTCTTAAAGTTATCAATTAAAAAACATATAACGAATCTTTACAGAGTTTGACTGGGAATCGACGAATTTTTTATTTCCCTATGCAGTATTCACCATCTTCTAAGTTTTATAAGACACGATTCTATTGTTTTAATAAGTAATTCTTTATTAAATGGTAGTGCTTGGCTGAAATTTAATCTGGCTACTATCCCCATTTCCATTCTCAATTTTATTTTATTTTATTTTACTAAATTTTTGATTGTATCAAAGGGCATGCTGTAAAAAGCCACACAAACAAAGTACTACTATTTGTTAAGAGAGAAAATACGATATGAATTCCCATCTAATAAAAATAATATTCCAAACAGAAACAAATGTACAGTTACCTTTGTTAACGGACATGGAAGATACAATTTTACATTCCAGCAAAAAGCTCAAAACAATTATTTATCAACAATGTAAAAGTTGTAGTTACGAACGAAAAATACTGCAAATACATTTAAAACGTATAGTATCCACATTAAAAGAAATAGCATTTAATCATTTATTTACATAAGAAAAACGTAGCATTACAATTTTTCAACGTACATAAACTTTGGCTTTATTTATATTACTGAACATACTTATCGCCATTTTCCCTTGTCGCCATCTTATGGTGTTTATATATCTCAACTTGTTCGATTCGCTCGTGTATGTAACAACGTATTTGATTTCAACGAAAGAAATCTCTGTATTACTGAAAAATTATTACACCAGGGTTTTCGATATCACAAACTAGTCAAAACATTTACTAAATTTTATCATCGGTACAAGGACATCATTCGTAAATATAAATCAACATGCAGACATCTTATACGTTCAGGTATTTCACATCCAATATTTTATGGTAATATTCTTTACATAGCACAAAAATGTCGGCATTCACCTCAAAAGCTAAACAAACCTTTAAACAGACTTATTCGGAAAGGATATAGTTACGATACTGTTGTCAAGTCATTAAGGATTGCATATTTTGGTATTAATATTGATTCACTCATAGGGTCTTTGCATCGGCAATAAACACATTTATTCTAAAACCAGTTGTTGGCATGATACGTGTATGTTCTTCTCATATATTTTATGATGGTATGTTACTAAACCCCTAACGGGAGGGATTGTACTTGATTTTCATATGATGAAGACATAATATTTCAATCAGTTTAATTGAGGTCTGGAGCTGGCATGTCAGTAACTGCTAGTAGTCCTTTGTTCATTTATGTATCATTGTCATTTTGCTTAGTTTCTTTTGTTACCTATTCTGACATCGGACTCGGACTTCTTTTAAATTGAGTTTTTTATTGTGCGTATTGCTATGTGTTACTTTATTCTACATTGGCTAGAGGTATAGGGGGAGGGTTGAGATCTCACAAAACATGTTTAACCCCGCCGCATTTTTGCGCCTGTCCCAAGTCAGGAGCCTCTGGCCTTTGTTAGTCTTGTATGTTTTTTTAACTTTAGTTCATTTATATGTTTTGGAGTTTAGTGTAACGTCCATTTTCACTGAACTAGTACACAATTTTATTTAGAGGCCAGCTGAGGACAACCTCTGGGTGCGGGATTTCCTAGCTGCGTTGAAGACCCATCGGTGGCCTTCGGCTGTTGTCTGCTCTTTGGTCGGGTTGTTGTTCCTTTGACATATTCCCCATTTCCATTCTCAATTTTATTAAGATCCTAATTTTGGTTTGTTTTATATATAAACAGTTGATACATTAATAAATATATCTTGTTTCTCGCTTTATTTTAATAGGCAGACTGGAATAGCATTTGGTCCTTCTGCATTCGTTTATAATTTTCAACAATGAAAATTTGATAAAATGTAAAAGTGTGTCGTATAATTACATATTCCATTAATCAAATTAGTTTAGTATAATGATAGTTCAAACAACTTTACCTGTTTAACCCCGACACATTCAATATGTACCCGTCCTAAATTAGCCTGTAATTCAGTGTTTGTCATTTGTTGCTGTATATTGTTTTGGTTTTTCGTTTAGAGTTTGTACATAATTATGGGCCGTCAGTTTCTCGTTTGACTCGTTTTTCACTTGTCATTTAGGTTTATTTTATAGCTTTCTTTGTGGTATGGGTTTTGTTCATTGTTGATTACCTAAAGGTGGGTGACCTATAGTTGCTAACCTCTTCATTATTTTGGTCTCCGGTAGAGAGTTGTCTCTTTGCCAATGTCCTTATGTTTGATGTAAATATTTTATTTTTTACTTGTGTACCGTTATGGACGTACATCACAGGCTACTATGCTGGTAGATACTATCGGAAAAATTACTTCTAATAATTGGAAATCATATGAAATCAAGGATCATCTGAATCCATGTCCCGATTTGGCTTTTACGTTTGGTCCTTTTTTTGTTTTATCAGTTCTTCAACGTTTGTTTTAGGTTTTGGATTTTTAAATATTTTGCACTCGAGCATCAATAATTAGACATTAATTAAACAATAAAATAACAAAAACACTGAACGCTTTTTTTGGCTGCTGGATCATAATTATTGTAACATTAACCTATAATATAGATATAAGAAGATGTCTGTTTGGGTTGCTCTCCCAATTTGGTCAATATAACGGAACTATAACAAAAAAGTGAAATAACAAAAAAAACGAACTCCTAGGAAAATTCAAGTACCTTATCAAATAGCAAAACCAAAAGCTCAAACACATTAAACGAATGGAAAACAAGTATCAAACTTGGTATAGGCATTTTCTTACATAGAAAAAGGTGGATTAAACCTGGTTTTATAGGTAGATAACCCTTTCACTTGCATGATAGTCGCAAATAAATAACCGAAGCTTAAATCATGCATTGCTTAAAGCAAAAGCTCCTATAATGAAACATTCAACAAGAATGAACCCAAATAATACCAAAATACAAAAGAACACAAAAAAAAAGAATACAACCTATACGAAATAAATCTCAAATAACAGTTCATATGTGGTTTTCTCCTGGGAAATTGTCATGTGGTGAATTGCAATCTTGAAAAACTCGGATGACTATAATCAAATGTTATGTTTGATATGCGCATGTCGAAAATAGGTCTTCAAAGAAGTTATTGGGAATTCAAAGTATCAAGCATTTATGAGTAAAACCAAACGAAATAGCTTCTGGATTGTTCCAAAGAACATGTTATCTTGGACGTTTTTTAATTCATTAAAACATTTTTTTCTTAATACGTTTTCCAAATTTGCACCTTACACATCCTGTTATTGATGCAATATCAGTGAAAAATACACTTTTAATTAAAATAAGACATACAACTTATTTCTTTACCTTGTGTCGAATCTATTCTTGTTAACCCTAAATCAGGCGACGTTGTTCGTAAAACTGGAGCGGATAATCGTTTCCAAACACCTGGATCTATTCAATGAATGAAAAAGTTAGAAAGATCTATCAAACTTATTTATGACTCGTCTTTGTCATAACATGATTTGCTACATTGCCGTTAATTTAGTACTTGTTTTCTGGAGTATGGTATTATTGTATTTATGCATTATTTAGAACATAATAGCGGAGTGACAAATCAAGAAAAATGTGCTTATTTTTTTTACTCTAATGGACCGGCATAACTGCAGGCTGAAAATGATTTTTTTGCAAAGCTAATAATTAATTTTACTTTTTTACCCGGTCGTTGCCATTTTCTACGGTGCAATTTTTCATAAAATTGAAATAAAAAGACATGTTGATTTTTTTATTCAAAATGCAACTCGACAAACTATTTTCTTTTGTTTCTTTTCATAGTCATCAAACTCTTCATTTGGTATTTTATGAAGAGTTTAAGTACTAATCTATATTGTAAAACTATAATTTCTTCTATGTTGCCTTATTTTTGTTTAAAAACAAAAACAAAATATATCTTTAAATGTACATGTAATGCACAAAATATCAAGTAAAAGCCAGTTTTGTCATTGCCTTTTTCTTGTGGCCCAACTGAATTTCCCTAAAACGGGCATTTGGTGATTACTTTTTTTCAAAAGGACTCAAAAATGAACTTCTGTTGTGTACTCTTTTATTATATGAGTAATGTATTGCATATTTTACAATTCATATACTTTTGTGTAACTTTTAACACTAAAAAAAACCAACCACTTAACTTTGACAGCAAATTTCTAAAAATTGCACCATTTTCAGATTCTACGTCCAGGCAAAATTTATATTTGAACATTTCTCTAAACAAAAATAAAGATTTAGCCTGCAGGTAGGGTGGTCCATTAAAGTTGAAAATTTGTCGACTTGGTCACTCCATTATAAAGTATTGTGGCAGTAGGTTCAACTCGAGTGCGTAAGGTCAGGATTGAGAACATTGGTCGAGTTAAACCAAAGGTGTAAAAATTGGTATTTTAATTTATTCAATAAATAGTAATTACAAAGAATGGTCGACCAGGGATAGGAATAATGTGTTCGTGTAGGATGTTAGACCTTCTTGTCGACAGTTAGCTTGTAACCTGGAACGTTCCAAATTTCTTGAGATGTTTTTATGTTTCGCAAGATCGACTGATTGATTGGTTGGTGTTTAACGCCATTATCAGCATATTGGCTATTTCGTAGCGATATAATCCTATTAAGATTGGAGTCGGACACACCTACCACATGCGGGGTTCTTACTCACAACCTCCGTTTTGACAGGCTAGTGATAGAATACTTGTGCTACATAGACCACTCCGCCACAGGGTAATAATGTTTGCACAAGATAACAAAACGATTTTTGGCACACGATGTCGTACAGTAAATATGCTTTCATAGTTGATCTATTGCAACCGCTGACTTTTCCTGTGAGAGTTAACTCCCTATACACTGTTTTTCTTGTTTTTGGTATTCCTTTGCAACCGTAAAAGATATAGAAAATTGCTCGTTACATTGTAATCTTCAGAATATTTTATTCAATTTGACCGAATCTGTTTCATAACCTATAATTACAATGTTGTACTTCTACCTGATTGAACCACCAAGTAATTAGAACTTTGAATTTCTATCTTCTTTAAACTGGTCGTTAATTCGGATGCATTAACAACAACATTGTGCATACATTATATACACTGCACTGACCATGCAATCGATTGATGATTGAAACAAAGGAAGATGTTATTTGAAGATTCATGCACTACACATTATGCTATGATTGTAAGGAATGTCGCTCGTACTCAATCTAGATTAAAATAGTTGTCATTCTCTTACATAATATAGCTATCTCCTATCTATACCACCAAAATCACATGCAGGTTTTTTATAATTACCACCAGCCTATCGTTTTTGCATTAAATTCCTAATTTCACAATTGCTTCTTGGCATTATTCCGTCCATTTCATTTATGAATTTAGTAGATTTATGTTGGAAGAATATCTAAGGTGTGTATTTCAAAATAATATCAATTTGTTTTCAATAAAATAAGTATATCTGAGAGACACATTGTGTTTGTTTATTGGTTGATTCTTATTAAATTCCACTTTGAGAGGCATTGCAAATTAAGTTATATTTTCCAACCATCAAGATAACACACATACGAAATAATGAAAAGTACAATCACATTTGTTGTAGAGAGGTAAACATCTGTTTTAAAAGATTGTTCTCTACCAGTTGTATTGTGACTTGATCTTGTATTAAAGTTTTAACTTGATTTTCTGCAAACTGTAAGTTTATACGAAAAGTCAATTGATATATGTGTTGTAAGGATCTAGTTTATATACAATAATTTTAAAATCCTATATAATTTATACATTAATGTTAAATAGTCATCATCAGATGAATAATACTTCTTAGCTTACTTGTTATAGCAGATATGACGTTTTCACTAGCTGGTCTAGGCCTACGTCTTGGTTGAAATTCAACAGGCACTGAAATAGGTTTAGACTTAATCCTAATATGACAATCAATAATCCAATTCCCACAACTATAAAAGTTGATATATTTTTAAGATGAAACAAGATAGGTTAATAAATATCAAAGGTTATGAGATTGAATTGAAGTTAAGACAATACCTTTGGTCGCTATCTTGTACACGGTAAAGTCACTCAAAACAAATAACAAACGCAATTTTAGGAAAATAAAATCTTGAAAGAGTCAGGGCCAATTATTCCCAATTTATTTTTCACAGAAGGGCAAATTACAAAAAGTGCTGAAAGAATAAAATTTACGATAGAAACAAGAAATAAAAATGTTTTTTGATGGATATCTCGATTTCTATATATTATGATATGTCTGGAAAAAAAGTTAATTGAACACCCCAAAAAAGATATAAGTCAAATATGCGGAATGTCCCGTGTTTATAGGTGGGAAAAACAGAGAATCCCCCGAGAAGGACATTTCAAACCAAAACAATGTTATGTTTTTTGTTGTTGTTGTAAATTAGTAGTACAACTTTTTTCCTCAAAAATGAAATTGGATTAGTGTGTCCTTAATACCTAAAAACAACTGTTTTTTTTATTAAAAAGTGGAACATCACACCAAGTTGTACATATATAGCTGCTTAATAATACCAATTTCTCCAAGAGTAACGAATCGGTAGCGAAAAGAACTGTAAATGATCGATAGATTTTAAGAAGAAGTTTAAATCTCACGGAATGTTTTTTTCTTTTTTTGTGTTGAATTATAAAATTGTAATGTTTCTATCATATTTTTTCGTATGTTTTTTTTTAATTCAAAGAGTCATCATGAATCATTTTGACTTTATATCGTTTCATTAAAGAAAAAAAAATAATGTGTTGCTAATTGTATGCGTTCCTATTACTATCCATACTCTTGACTTACTTCCTATTCTTGTGTTTTAATTCATTATATATATGCAAGGAACAATTGCCGTAAAACTGAAGGTGCTTGTACATGACCAATAACACGGGAATTGACTATATAGCAATAAAGCCTAAAAGTCTCTGAATGAAGCCCAAATGTAGTGTGTGTAAATAAACTCATCATAGATACCAGGATTTAAATTTTGTATTTGCGCCAGACGCGCGTTTTGTCTACAAAAGACTCATTAGTGACGCTCGAATAAAAAAAAGTTAAAAAGGTCAAATAAAGTACGAAGTTGGAGAGCATTGAGGACCAACAATTCCTAAAAGTTTTGCCAAATACAGCTAAGGTAATCTATTCCTGAGGTAGAAACGCCTTAGTATTTCAAACATTCAACGTTTTGTAAACAGTTAATTTATAATTATGACTATATCAATGATATTTCATGTCAACACATAAGTGCTGACTACTGTGCTGGTGATACATAACCAATAACACGGGAATTGACTATATAACAATAAAGCCTAGAAGGCTCTGAATGAAGCCCAAATGTATAATATACACACAACGAAAAAAGACAATAGCAGAAAAATTTCAAAACATTAAAAACAATTTTTCGAAACCTTGAACATCAACACGCTTACTGAAGCAACATGTTTTTTTTAACAGAGAACTAATTTTGAAAATATTATTTGATAATGCATATTGTAATACTCCTCAGGGGCATCAACAAACAAAATCAATTATGGTTTTGAAAAACCAAAAAATCAATAGTCTTGGCCTTTTTTATTGTAGGATTCCTGTTCAAGGTATGACAATAGATGATGTGACGTATTTTCATGTACTATGATTAGCAACTATCAGGTTATTTAAAAACATGATTTACATACCTATCCAAGTAAAAAAGATAAGGGGAAAATGGCCCTACCTCTTAATCAAAATTTGTCAAAATGCATTATTCATAAGACATGATGACTTGACCTTGTAACTTCTGATTTACTGATGATGTTTTAATTTTTAGAAATTGGTACTATATTTATGCCAGCCATACTAAAGCATGCCAACACATACAATGTGGAAGGAATCATCGATGGTATCCCTTTTCGGTCGTCACAGATTGCATATAAATGTTACACCTTCAAAAGTGCCATCTTCAGTTACCGTGATCTGGTAAGAAAGTCGGTCGACAGGAATGAGTGCAGTTTCAAAACTTGTCACCCGAAGAAAGACTTTATGTTTTAGGACCATTTATTGGATCGTTAGACTCCATGTAATTGCAGCAATTAATGTCATCTACAAAATGCTTAATGATGATAATTGGTATATGATTTGCATATGACGGAATATGTTTATATGATTGGCCGAGAGGGCTTCCATTAGTGGCTCTTGACGTTATTTCTTTTTCGATAGATGACGTCGACGGAATCACTTTTTGTAACCAATGTTAACAAGCTGGCGACGATAATAGCACAAACTAATTATTTTACCTCGCGTTCATCGTTAAAGGAAAAAATTAACACAACCATTCATTTGAAAGATCATGACATGTTTTTGTAGTGTATTTTTTATCAGACAGCAAATTTCATGGAGTAAATTTTTAACGTTAACCAAAAAAATATTCATGCGCCAGACCAATTCATTGACACAATTATACATATTACGTGGGCCAGGGGTTACGAGTGGGAAAATCAAATTCCCAATCTCATTTTTTTTTATTAAATTATAAGGTTTAAACGCCTGTTTAAAGGAATTTATTGAGGAATAAACTGGACCAAGTCACCCACAAGCATATTTGTTTGGCAGTGAATTGAACCAGTTTATACACCAATGAGTAAAAGACGTTTAATCCTATAATATTTTTCTTGTAGGTAACATATATAACGGGGAGTATTAAGTTGGGAAACGATATCGTAATCCATTCATGTTAATCAGTAATAAAGAAAAATCTTATTTAACTTGCAGCATACATGTAGGCAGCACATCATGAATTTCATCGTAATGGTCGACCGATGTTTGTCTATCAACTCTGAAATATTTAATTTGAAAATTTGAAATTATATAGAACCAGTGAATTAGTTGTATTGTTAAAGAATTGAAATACAATAATATGTAAAACATATTTCCGAATATTACATGACACATATAAAATATTCATGAATATTTTTTTCAAATCAAAAGAATAACCTGAACCAACGATATAGACTTTATATTTATGTGTGGGGGCATCCTAAAATATACAAATCTAAAGTTAAAAATTATAATATATCAATATTTTTTTAAGATGATGCGTTTGAAATATCAGATGATACTCAGCGAAGCTAAACAGATAATGTATCATACTTCAGCCCGTACTCATTTCTTTAATTTTCGAGCACACTAAATTTGTTGTGTCAGTGTTTTTTTATTGTGTTTTGTTTTTAAGTTGTAAAACTTTTCTTTTATCTCTAATTAATGTTTTAATGAGAGACGTATTTTGTTGCATCAAAAATCTATTTATTTAGATGACGTACTTTATATACGTGAGACAAATCCAGTCGTCAGATATTAATCAAGAGTAGTTTGAATAATTTAAAATCATATTTAGGTATGGTGTGGACAAAAGAAAACATTATTAAAGCAATTTTGCTGACAATTGTATTAACTGCCGGTCTATAAAGGAAAATCACTTTTCCAGTAGATGAAATGAGCTAAATGTGAATCAAATTGAATGATAGGGGGTCCCTTAATTTGCACAACAATTTCATTTAAATTGCAGTTTATATCGTGACTAAATAAAACTCCATGGTACATGTTTCACCTTTTACATTTTATCTTTTGAAACAAAACAAAATTCTCCTAATAAAGTTTATTAATTAACCTTGTAAGACAAAGGACCAACAAATAGACTTGAAGCTTAGAACTTTATTGTTTCAAAAAAATAATCTTAAAAGGTTGTTTTGGGGCATTTTGTAAGTTGAAACATAGGTAAACTAATTATCTTCTCTGAGGATTGCTTATTGATTTTGAAAAAAAAATATCATGTTCATATGTCATTAAAGATTAAAAGTTAAAGAGTGTATTTTAATCAATTCATAATTTAATATTTTTCAGCAATGGGCATTAAAAATGTACTTTTTCAACTTAAACAAATTAAAAAAAAAACTTATTTTATTGAAATGTGGATTCTTTCTTGATTTCAAAAATATATATACACTTCTTATATTCAAATGACTAAAATTGTTAAAAGACATTTGATGGGAAATAAACTAAAAACAATTAGTTTGTTCTAATTAAGAGTTTTAAAATTTAACCAACTGTTTCAAGCCGATCACTGAAAAAAAATAAGTGAACTAATCTAAATTGTTGATAAATTACAGATGATTATAGCAGATTTATCAAGTAAATTATAGGCCTTACTTGAATACCTTTTATATATTTATATTTATATTCAGATTTCATATTTTTTAAAAAGATCTTGTTAATCCTTAATTAATCATTTATCTTTCAGACATAATTTGCAGAATCACTTTTTGTAGTTTGGATGAAAAGTAATAGTATCGAATAGTTTGCCAATAAGAATTCATTTCTTTTTTCATATAGAATAAATAGTATTTCATATTCTTTTAATCCTTAACTTAAAATCAGTACACATTTTTTTCAACTCACTCAGTTATCATAGGCCCCATGTTGAGGAGCAGCCTACCCATTAGAAGCACCTGATATCACTCTCAATATTTAGAGGCTTGTGTTGTGCAGTTTTTAAGTTTCTATGTCATGTTTTGTAAACTGTTTCTATTTTGCCATAGCGTTGTAGGCTAATCTTCGTACTATGAGCTTTGATGTGTCCCCTTGGTATCTTCCGCTTCTGTTTGGTCAGACTGTTAATATTAAATTCAAGGTTTCTGCACACTTCGCAAACTCATTTGAATTCAATTATATGCATAACTTGTTCATTTGTTTACTTACAAGGAGATATAAGCGTGCTCACTAGGCGTTGTCCGGTTCTCCCCGTTTGCATACTGTATTTCTTTTCTGAATCCATTTATCCAGTACTGTTAAGAGACGGGTAAAAACTAGATTATATTTTAATTGCAAATATCAATGCACCTATAAAAACTAAAACAAAATTACCAAATTCTCAGGTAAGTTGAAATTATGGAAATTCCATAAAACCTGACAAAACAAAACGATCGACTATATCAACCAACGGAACAACAGATAAACAACTATCATATTCCTGACTTGGTACAGGCATAAGTTTCCGAAGAAAAGGTGGGTTTAAACCTATTTTCTGTTTTCACTGTACAGTTCACCTGTGTAGATAGTGTGTGTTCTCTTATTAATGCTTGCTATCAGTCGTACTGTTTTACATATCTTAAAAACAGATTGAAGATAACATGGGGGAATACAAAAAAGTCAAAGAAAAATAGGCAATACCATGGTAAAAAAAGCTGAATTAAGGCGAAGTGTACGTAATTGCACGCCTCTAGCGGAATTTAGGATAAAAAACGTGCGTCGTTAGTTACGCGGGTTATCTCCCCTACTCCAAGAAAGGAAAAATGGGCACATGAAAGAGAAATAACTTCGTGCGGTCTATCATGAATTCAAACAAGTATTCATGTGCTATCTCAAAATTTCAAAGAAATTATTAGAATGACTCTAATCAGAAATCTGAGTATCCTATTGTGAGTTAGTATGACTATATTACCACTGTTTTTGTTTTAGTTAAACACGCAGGAGCAGGTACACAAAACGACTCGTGTTTATTTCAACAGAAGGTAAAAACGCCTAAACAACAAAATTATAACCAAATAAAAAATAAACCAGTGACAATTCTGCTTCTATTCGTTTCAAATTCATTAAAATCAAACCTGAATTGACCCCCACAATATTTTTTTGAAAAACCATAGTTTTTATTGAATTTCACAGTGTACTGTAGCGTAAAATTGTAGGTAACAAATAATTATATTGCATGTGAATTTGTGTTTTGAACAAGAAAGACGTTGGCATGTCCGTTTTTATGCAATTGAAAATTTTTATGATGTTTTATATTTTATTATTTAGGTAAAAAGTATAAAAGATACGGGGGTAATCGACCACTAGTACAACATTTATAAGCCGAAGAAAAAGCCAACAGCAAAAAAAAAAACCCATCAGATTCCGTCCACAAAACATTACACTCTCAGAAACTAAGAATTGAGCACTATTACATTTATCTCAGAATAAGTAAAATCTATGTCATCCAAATCTCAGTTTTCAAGGTGCAAAAAATAAACAGGTGTCTTCTCTTCCGTCCGCAATTTTTGGGGAAAGTAAAATCTAAATTTAGAACCATGGTTGAAACTGAAACTACACATGTATGATAAAAATAGAACGTGTTATTTTTTTCTTTATCAAATTCAGATTTCAAAGGGATAGCGAAACTTGTTTTCTTTTTTGTTGTGCTTTTGTGTATCATTCAGCAGTAGTATGAGGTAGGGGAAGAATGGGGAGGGGGTGAAGAAAATTAGTTCTACAATGTCGGGGCTTTTTATAACCGACTATACGGTATGGATTTTCTCATTGTTGAAGGTCGTATATATGATTGCCTTTAACAATTGCTTACATCCACATCCTTTAAGGTAGCTGGGGTGTCTAAATGTTGGACGATAGATTTTTCTTAAACTTCTGTAAGACTTCTGTGTCAATGTTATATAAATTTCAATATAAAAACTGGGGATCACGGACCTTGTTTTTTCGTAATAACACATTGAAATTAACGAAATTTGGGTTATTTTATATTGTTAATATAGGGGAAACTTAAGTTTTCCTTATTGCAGAAACATTAAACGATGGAATTGGCTAAAAGTCGATGAGAGAATTGCTTTTCATTAATAACTCCGAAATATCAAATAAAAATAGGGTGTCACATGCCTTATTTTCTTGAAAAAAATCCCCAAATATTTTAGATATACTTTACGACACTTAATTTCTTGATAGTTCAATCTTTAAATTTCAAGTTTTAGGTATTTTGTTGTATATTGAATGATACTTGGTAAAATATTTTTAAAACAAAAAAGTTTTTGCAACATGATCAGAACGGACGCTCAGAAAAAGGAACCCGATCTACCTTAAACGTGGCAGATAGTTGTCTCATTTGCAATCATACCACATCTCCTTATGTTCATATTATATTAACAAAACTGCAATTCAAATTTGCACTATATACAGGAACAATTTGTATGGCACTATACTAGGTAAACTCGTATAGCATCGCTCTTGGTACATTCTTATAGCATTACACCAGTACATTTATAGCATATCACTATGCACAAAGCTTTAGCATTACACTATACACAATGCTATAGCATTAAACACGATATACACAATGCTAAGGCTAACACTGGGAATGATCTGTGCTACGTGAAGTTAAAACTCCAATCTGTTTTACCTTGCTAAAATTCATATGCGGGTTCTTCTTTTGACCTTATTACAGCCATAAAAATTCTCAAGATAATATGCAGATGCAGTTTTCTTATTTTTTGGAGTCTTGCATGTGGATATTTAACAAATAATGGTACAAAAAATTATTTCCTTTTTTACTTAAAATCTCCAGCAAACATTATATCATGCTTTGTCGTGTAGTTAAAGAAAAGGGAAAGCGATCGAGACAGGAAATTTTTTAAATAAAATTGCAGAGTTGTGTCACGTGCACGCGTGTGAACCTGACAAATAAAATGGGCTTTGTGCGCAATACCTCGAATAGCGCCGGAAATGGTGAGGATGAAAAGATGCAGCAAATTATATTCACTTTTTTAAAATACAAACATGCAGAAATAAGATTTAAAAAAAGACGTGTATACGCGATCCCAATATTATAACCGATTATTTAAATACGTATAGAATCATTCTGTCAACGCTGTGTTAACTGGGACAATTTCAAACTTGATATTTGATTCATAATTATTAAAACAATACACTACAAAAAAAAAAAAAGAAGATGTGGTATGATTGCTAATGAGACAACTCTCCACAAGAGTCCAAATGACACAGAAATTAACAACTATAGGTAACCGTACGGCCTTCAACAATGATCAACGCCCATAGTCAGCTATAAATACATGCATTTCAAAAAAGATGTGGAACCCTGTCTAATTAAAAAAAGATGGAGTTAAAGTCTATACAGTAACTTTCTTTCACTTGCAGTATATTTATTTGCCAATTTGTTTTTTTTTTTTGGCAGCAGAATTATCCTTAAAAACAGTTAGTTTATTTCCTTATCAATTGATTACGCTTGAGCATTTGCAATAATTAGGAAAATGGGTTATACACACTCACGATTTTGTTACAACACTGTACGGTATAATAGCGTTATAGAGTAGAAATTGTGATGACGTTACAGTAGACATCAATAACGTCGCCGAATGTTTTTATTCTTTCCGCTAAAAATCAAACTTTAACAGGATATAGCTTGAAAACGAGCACGGTTGCTAAGGACTTTCTTTGCACCAATGGGTTCGTCGTTCATCTTTGAATCGCATATCGATTTTTAAAAAAATTCTGTGGACCAACGAATTAGAAAATCTTAATAAAGTAAAAATATCTGCCGATTTTTATGATTTTCCCTATATATCCTTTGTATTTTTGGCGTATCATGCTGTTAATTTCAACAGCTTGTATTTGAAAAACGAAAACGGTTACCCCTTTTTTTTTATTTTATTGTCTGGTGTATTTTTACAAGCAGAATTCACATGTAAAATTTAAAAAAATTCTGTGGAGTAGTTAATTACGTACACTTCGCCTTAAACAAATTAGAAAAATAGTCAACAACACTTTCCACCGAAAATTAGGAACTGAACGTCATGAACCCCACAAAATTCGATGTAAACACAATTGCTCCGGAAGGGACAGCAGTTCTGCTCTATTAGTGAAACTCGAGTTAAAATACATAAATACGTCAAATCAGGTGGTTATGCATTATACGGTCAGTAGAAACAACACAGATATTAAAAAAATTGGAAAGTATACCACACCGACGACAATTCGAACATACCCTTGGTCATCTGCGAAAAACATATTTATAATCCATTAAAGGAGCATTAGTTCTCAAATTCATGTTCACCGATTTGACTCAAATTCTCATATTTGATTTATAACATACTAAAACATATATCCTAGTTTCGATACGTCTCAAATAAACAGTTAACAATACGTGTACTCAATTATATATATCAGAATTTCGTATGTATTTTTAGTCTAGACGCCATCTAATTAACTATCGAAATGACCTCCGAAGACTGCCGACGTCCACATAACCGAATGTAAACATACACATAAATATAAAAAGAAAGCAACCTCCAGGTCTTGGAATGATTTTTTTTTTGTGGTTCGAGTTAGTCAACGAACTTGTTCACCTTTGTTTTACTTTCAATATTGACATTCTTTTCCTGTTAATAGCTGAACACGACTAATACATGCGTAACCGATCTCTAGCTAATGGGTTAAATTGAAGGTCACATGAATATAGATTAAATAAGTTCAAATTATTCACTTGCAAGTGAATAATTCATCAGTGATGTTTCTTTGCTTAAGTTATTTTGACAAAATTGAACCAAATTGGCTGCTTAAGGCGAATTGTTATTTCATCATTTCACTTTTATCAATGATTGAACCAAACAAAATCATATTCTATATTTTGCATACCTCGTAGCTACTGCCCCTTGAACGACAATAAAATCTTGACGGTGTCTGTTAAAATTTCTAAGTGAGGAATACAACTAAAGCTTTCTTATAAAAAAACAACCATCTATCATCGAAATCATACGAAAGCTACAGCATAAACTTTGATTGAGTGATGATTGTTGTTAGTTTTACTGTCTACGGTTTACTATTCAACTAGGTAATATATACTATATTTACAGACGCTACTGGCATGTTGATGGATTGAAATCATCTCTTCTGTCGTAAAATTTAGTTCATAACCGTGGTCATTGCGAACATAGTTATTCAGTGAGAGGATATTATCTTTATATATAACAGAACAGAGAAAATTATTATGGGATAAAGTAAACAGTTTTTGTAATAATTTTAAAGAATTACCCAAGGATAAAAAATATTTCTGGCTGTTCACAAATGAGCATTTACCAACTCTTATGTGCCTAGGCAATTATATAATTAAGTGTTTAGAAATAAGATCCAGGTGGATACAAAATATATAAAATTATTATGCAATTATTGAAAAGGTTATGTAAGACACATGATGTGTTAGGCTCTGATCCTGTCCAATATATGATAGTATTATATTAGGATATAGTTTTTCTTTTTTCCAATCATATTGTGCTTAATATTGTTGTAAATGATGCCCTTTATGGGTTCTTGATTAGATTAATAAAATTCTTATCTTATCTTATCTTATAACAGAAGATAAATTAAGATGACAATGCTAGCTTCTTATCTTTTTCGTAAAAACTATGTGTATAAAGTTTGCCTCATACGAATAGACCAAGAAGAATATGTGCCTAGTTAGACCCTATAGTAACACATATTTTAAAACTGTTAAAACTACGTCCTCGGCAAATGATAAATATGCTGGCAATGAAAATTGCATTTTGTTGATAACAAATGCATAAATGAAAGTTATTATTTACAATATAATATTTAATACTGCTTAAAACAAGATATACTCGTGTAACGGAAAGTGAATTTTTATTGTATATTTTTATTATATCACACGCAGGTGAACTGAGATGGTATACTAGAGAGACACATGAAGACGGAACCAGAAGTTTGCATAAGCCTATGTGAATCACTTTGCAATAAAGTTGAGTGTTAAAACCTTAATTCTTTTCAAGTGACTGCTATCGTAAACGTCATAAAAAACCTCCAAGTTATGATATAGCATTTCTTAATACGATGCATCCCCATAACTATCTATAATGTTCGATACTAGTATTCGGAAATGCAGGTTAACTCTATTAATCAATAAATAAATAATCAAAAACCATGTCAGAAAAAGCCGCCTGTCATATTTCGTAGAAATATTTCTCGTATGTTCAATTGTTGAATTGTTTTCCTCCAGTGACATATATTTAAGAAACCCGACTTCGTATATCAATATGCAGTAAGAAACCAAACAAGAAATTTCTGTCAATTACACGCTAAAAAATAATTCATCCCCACTGGTTATATTGAACATTTAAATAATGGTCATTCGGAAAAATCTGAAAACATTTTAAACGTTAATAAATCAAAATCAAGTTTGAATTATTATTTAATTCTAAAATTAAGATGTATTTAACAAAGAATACAAACGGACGAGTGGACGAACGAACAGAAAGACGGGCGGACGAATGTAACTGAATAAATTTCAACAATCATTCGTTTAGAGACTACTTTCAAATAAACCAACGATCAAGAAATTATGAACATGATCATAGATATAAATATATTCCTATCAACTGACACGTATCGATGCACAACATGACACTTTGTAACTTCTATTTCTGTAGTGGAAGGTATAGCGTCACAAAGAACTCTAAAACAATTTATGCAATGCTACTATCAAACTTTTTATCTTTAACGAGTTGTTTTCATTATTGAAAATAATTATTGGTCATCATCATTATCACCTTAAAACATAATGAAAAGTAAGATAACAAAAATACCGAACTCCGAGTGTGAAGTGAGTTCTTTATGTTTTCTAATGCTGAAATCGGTGATTGAAAGAAATATTATTGGTTTTGCAGAAAACATGTTATGTTTCCGATCCTGAATCAGAAACCGCTTCCAGTTTTAAATAGTCGGTCTTTTATGCGCTTTTTTCCACGTACGGTTTGTGCTATTGTTAATTGTTTTTCTGTTTTGTATCGATCTGGTGAGCGCAGCACTTTTCGACTGATTTTGATAGTTTGTTCAACCCTGCCACACTCTGTATGTGACTGTCCCGAGTCAGGCATCTGTAATTCAATGGTTATCGTGTGTTGCTGCATATCATATATGTCTTTGGTTTATTGTTTTGTATACAGAAATCAGGCTGTTATTTTAAATTGTTTTACATTTGTCAATTTGAAGCCTTTTATAGCTTGATCTGTAGTCAGGGTTTTGCTCATTGTTGAAGGTCGTCGTACAGTGACCTATGATTGTAAACTTCTATGTTTTTTTTTTATCTCTGGTGAAGAAATGTCTCAATCATACCACATCTTCTTTTTTTATAACTACCCTTTTTTATTTGTACTTATTGTCTTTCTAGATTTCCTAATTTTTACACAATTCAAAAGACTAGCTTTTGTGATATTATTATTGAAGTTATTATTGTTATCATTAATATTCAGATGTTACGAGCATCTTGACTATTTCTTTATTTTGTGTAAGCAGCTTTTTTATAATAAAGCTAGATGTACCTCAAGTTCCCGCTGAGATGATGCTGCAAAAATGAAACGATCACCTCTATTTGTGAGGTGAAATTCAAATGTTAAATTTTCATCTTCTTGGTTAATTTCATCTCCAACATGCACTCTACAATCATGCAAATTTTTTTTAGAGTCAATAGCAGCATAAAATGTAATTAACAAAATCAATAAAATTTTAAGGAGGCTAATTTTGATTGACAAAAAGACTTTAAATATTTAGCAGATTTAATCGAATAGCCTACTGCAAAAGAGCATACGAAATATTGATGATTGGCTTATCCAGCATCATAAGACGATATTACGGCATTTCCATCGGCTATTCGTTAAGTCATTGATGACTTTCAAATGTTACATTTCGTCCATGGCAACGGACATATGTGATTTCTTTAATAATATACAAAACACTCACACTTTTCACCTGACAATCTTCATTTTGTCAAATTTTATTACATTCTGAAGCGTAAAAAAAGTCTTAAAATATCTGATGTTAAAGTTTGACGGAAAAGGATATATGACGCCGAAGGCTCGTTTATTATTATATTGAAATTAAATAACTTGATTTGATATCAAGCAATATCTCATCATCACACGTTATGAAACCTATAAGTGTCACTTAACGAGCAGGAAACATAACTAAATAAATAAACAAAAGTAATCTTATGTTCAACTTGAAGTCGTTTGCAATATTATTTATATTATGTAGTTATTAATAAGACCATTTTGTTGATAATAGATACTGGCTGTATGATAAATCTTACGTATGAAATTTTAAAGCAACTCTTCTGTAAAGTTTATAGAAAAATTTGTTATACCTTGTTTTTATGTTAAATAGTCATTTTTGTTAACTTCAAGTAAAATTTCAAATAATCACTGCGTACACTTGTCGAGCCTAAATAAATTTTCACTCGTTTAACCACGTGACATGTAAAAATGTATGTCCTTATTCAGACATGTTGCCATTGGTTTGCTTTTGCGATATTTTGATGCGGTCTTTTCTACTTTGCAGAATATTGTATTGATGATTGATCTTCGATAGTCCTTCCTTCTGTGAAATTTTATTGAATACTTTCAAACTTCAGTTTCTTTTCTCAAATTGCTGTATTTGGCACAACTTTAAGGAAATTTTACTTTTAAATGCTCTTTAAATTCGTATTTGTTTTGGTGTTGTTTATTATTCGACTGCCTCTGATGAGTCTTATGAAAACGAAACGCGCGTCTATTATAACTAATTATTTGTCATAGTCGAATCGAAATCATTCATGTAAGCCATAGACATGATAGATTTGTATTAAATTTTCATATGGACTGGACGGTACCGATATATGCAAGCGTCAGCGATTGAAAAAATTGGAGGATATAAGCCATGTGAAAATGACCGCAAATCAAATTTTTGCATGAATTATTACTTAATTATTTATAGCTAATAACAAAACATTATATTCTGATGTTTATAAAGAAAGCAATAACATATGCTTTGGTGTTATAAAATTGAGAATGGAAATGAGGAATGTGTCAACTTTGCCTTCTATCAAAGTTAATACGCGGAAACACAAAATGAATATTTTAGAACAGACACTAATATATTGATCATTAATTGTGGTAACAATTTGCTAGTGGTTTTAAGATGAGAATTTATCTTACCTCCTATACATTTCTAGGAATATGATTGGTTAAAAGCGTCCGCGTGGAGACCGTGTATTTTCCATATTAGGTTAGTAGGGAGGCGGGCTTATTTCAATACACGGTTAGTAGTGGTGTTACGTCCCTTTATAAAAACAAAACAGTACTGAGAAAAAATCTTAAAGGTTTCAACAGACAGAGAAATTGATGATGAAGATTGAAATAAATTCATAAAACACATTTAAAGCTATATATGACAAGTTGTTATTGTTGGTATCTGTTTTTGTATGATCAATGGAAGTAGTTTCTTAATGCTAACGGTATTGAAGAATTGCTCATTTTGATAGGTCACTAGACTATGTCTCAATATCACACGTTAAGATAGTCGGTAAGATAAATTCGTTACATAGTGTGCAAGTGTCGTAATACGGTATATATGGGGTCAGTAAATTCCATATGGGGATTCGAGCTTCGCTCTCACCCCATATTGAATTTACTGACCCCATATATGCCGTATTAGGTCACTAGCACACTATGTAACTAATAATGTATGACAAAATTTACAGACAAAGGACGACGATACTGGACGATAAGTCATGACAATAGTTCACATTGACCCTTTGCAAGCTAAGTTAAAAATATACAATTTTTGGAAACAGAATCATACCTGGTATCTTGAAGATAAAAATTCATAAAAGGTTCGGAACTGCTAATCTCATCCCAGAAAAAATATCCATGTCCTTGATATAAAACCGCAAAGCACCGCGGCCCTAAATAAAATGTCAAATGATTTGTTTCATAGGTTGTAGGTAGGTATAAATAATGTAGTTACTCTTTTCTCCAATGGGCACAAGTTCCATACCAGGAAAGCCGCCTCCCAAAACATCAATATCAATAATTCCCTACTTTTCGGGTATGCATTCAGAAGCGCACGAAAAATCTACGACGCATTATAAGCTCCCGGGCATATGCATTTTCAAGAAGCTTGAGGCTGTGGTAAATTTATCTTATCTTCATGAAACATAAGTTGTGGTCTAGCAGTAAGAGCCTCTAACAATATTGTTATTATATGCAAAATTCATTATCTGGAATTTCTAACTATTATCAGATTTTTCTCAACTGATTGGACATACCTAAGCTTTTAATTTGCATAAGGTACATGTATTTCTTTACGTTAATATAAAAATAGTCATATCTTTACGGAAATTCATTACATAATATTCTTCGTGCTGTTTACGTAATGAAATTAATGAGGCCGGTGTATCATTGCAAATCATGCCCCCAACCCGAAAATGCAGACAGGACAAAAGAAAATTAAAAATTGTTTTAAACAATGTGACACATTTTAAAACGGGAACAATTTCCCTTGTCACTCACCGGTTCCTATACGCCCTTGCCGTAATTCAACAACTTTTTACTTTGCGAATACACATATTATTTAACATATTTGAACCGGGTCAATGTCCATAAGTAGACACTTCGTTGATGAGTTTATCCCAAAATATATGTCTATGGACTGTTCTATGATAACTGCACCGATATAGCACCGCCAAGTCACTTGAAATTAATTAAGATATAAATAACTCGACATTTACAACAAAATGGGAATCCGACATCTACGTATTTTATGTTCTTTTTTATTAACAATAAAAGGATGCTAAAAAAAAGGTCTTCATATTGGATCAGCAAAAAATCCTTATAAAGATTGATATATAGTCCGGTAATCAAGATGTTCGACTTAACTTCTGATTAAGTTCTAACCGTCACTCTTTATACATTGAAACACGGCCTCCAGAAGTATTATGGTCAGGTATATTCTATCAGCGGTGTCAAACGGATGTCGGTTCTTGATAATTCTAAAGATCTACTGTAAGATCTTCAATCATATTCCTTACAGTTGTGGAATAATATAAGGACTTTTGATTTTTCTATGCTTTTCTAAACTTCTATTCCATAAGCTCATATGAAAGATCAAATACATCGTCTCATTACACAGAGCATTTTTCTCAAAAAGGGTTATCGAATTCATTTCTTTTAAGATCATATAAAATCATACTTTTGTCGGAACTGCACTGATTCCAAAAACACCGATGATAAAAGAAAACAAAATGATGAACTTGTTTGAAAGACAATGCATTTGTTGAGTTTGGTAAAATGATATTTTAACATTCAGCTGGTATTCCAATAGGTACTATTTGTGCATTCCTTCTGGTGTGCTTGTTTTTTTATTCATATTAAGATAAATCCATACAAATCCTACTAAAAGACAGATAAAAAACAATGTGCCAAGTTTTAATTTTATTTTCAGAAACATTGATGATATCAAGTAACTCAATCACTCACATTTCAGGGAGTGCATTGCATCCCAATTATCCAAGTGAACTTGAAATTAAGGATATTTCCCAAATTATAAGGTCTCCTTCATATCTTGATCCATTTCTCGATATTGACACAAATGGACGACTTCATACGAGTATCTTTGACAACCGTCATGATTCAACTTTTCATTTCTCAACAGTAACATACTCTCTAGTTCATCGTCTAGCGTTTACGTATCTCAATTCAAACATTACTCTTGTGCATGTGCATGCTATACCGACTTCATAAGCAGGTTTTGTGCTCCTTAAACAACAAAAGTGCACACGCTAAAATGTCTCGCTTTCTTTACTAACCATTGATATAATGTTAATAGTCCTAATAATAAAGCTTTATTACAACTATCACATAAACTTAACATGATCCAAGAAAAGGTCAAGGTCAGATAAACCGAATTTGAAATACATATTCACCTTACAATCATTCCTTATACCAAACATGCTTGAAATATAGTTGACCTTTTGCACATCTAAGAAACAAATTAAACCATAAACTTAACATCGATCACTGAACCAAGAAAATGAGGTCAAGGTCAGACGAACCCTGCCAGACAGACATGTACACCTTACAATCTTTACATGCTTTAAAAAAAAGTTGACACTTTGCATATAGTATCTAAGAAACAAACTTAAACAGGAAAACTTAAGATTGACCAATGAACAATGAAAATGAGTTCATGGTCAGATGATAATTGTCAGATAGACATATACACTTTACAATCATTCCATACACTAAATATAATTGACCTATTGCTTATAGTAGTAGATAAATAGACCAAAACACAAAACCATAACATTGAGCAATGAAAAATGAGGTCAAGGTCAAATTAAACATGCCACACTGACAGGTGCGTTACATGCACACCGTACAATCCTTCCACACAACAAATATAGTAAACCTATTGCTGATAGTATCTGAGATATGGACTTGACAACCAAAACTTAACCATGTTTACTGATCCATGAAATGAGGTCAAGGTCAAGTGAAAACTGTCTGACAGGCATGAGGACCTTGCAAGGTACGCACATACCAAATATAGTTTTCATATTACTCCTAATAAATAAACATTACAAAAAATCTTAACCTTTTTTTCAAGTAGTCACTGAACCATGAAAATAAGGTCAAGGCCATGGACATGTGCCAGACGAAAACTTCATAGCATAAGGCATCTATAAACAAAATATGAAGCATCTAGGTCTTCTACCTTCTAAGATCTAAAGCTTTTAAGAAGTTAGCTAACACCGTCGCCGTCGCCCCTGATGCCGCCGCTGGATCACTATCCCTATGTCGAGCTTTCTGCGACTAATGTCGCAGGCTCGACAAAAATTGCTCCACCAGATATATGAGGAAGAACGAATGAAATCGACGCTACATACTGTTTACGATCATTATCACGAATTGGATATATGGGTCTCAACTCACTAGCCACGGGTTGTAACATGGATTAACCGCATGTGTCCTATTCCCAAATTTGACATTTTGATTGCATGTGAATTCATTTGGCTAGTAATGTATGCAAAGCAGGAGACGCTTATCCTGTTGACGCACCCATTTCCGCTCCTTCAAATGTTCATGCAATTTCCCAAGTTCCTGTGTGTTACCTTGATTTGTCTAATTAGTCTATTTAGGAAATGAAAGACAGGGTAACTACTGAAGCCTATATTTATTCTTATAGTGGTACTTATTTGTTTTTGTTAGGGTAAATATAGCGGTACATACAAGCTCTCTTTTTTCTTTTACGTAATACTCCACTGCTGAAATCTCCGCTTCGTATTATCCTTAAAAGTGTCTGGCAAGCTATAACACAAATATATAAATCAGACAAAGGATATAACAAAATGAAATCTATGGAAGTCAACTACCACAAGAACAGATAAACATGATAACGCTGCAGCATCATTCGAAAGAAAATATGATTATGGAAAAAATACCTTTCTTATAAAAACAAAAGGATCAATCTGGCAAAAAAAATGCTGTCACTGTTATACACAACATATATGCTATTTCGTGTGATATAACAGAAGTTGGTCAAGTTTATTAGTTATAAATGTACATTACAGATCACAAAAACTGAAATCTCGAATCAATATTAAAAGTTCAAATGTAAATGAAATAAAAACTTAATATTAAACTATTTATAAAAGTCACGTTTATCTGATGTGTTAATCGCCTGTATTTAGCATGTCAGTAATACATGGATTTGAATTCTGCTCATTGAAATTGAAGTTATTGGAAGTACACATAATGTGGGAAGAAAAGTTTTCATAATCTTTAGGAACTTTACTACAAAAACAGTCAAACCAGCTGTTTACTTGTGTGATGGCGGATAAAATAAAAAATGGTTTGATAAATGGGAAAAGTGATTCAACGAGCTTCCGACAATATGTCAAGGAAGATATATTCGCATTGATTAATTGTCCTGAGTTTGGAATGGAACTGATTCGGAATGTTCCCTTATTTACTTTATTCATCTAAATGTAATAATATTAATTTATAAAATCAGTAAAGAATTTAGTTTTTTCGTATTAGACCGTACGAGTATACACATACGGTTCGACCGTACACGTACGGTCCAAATACTCATATGGTCTGGAATATGTATATAAATTATACCGTTAGTTTTCTCGTTTGAATTGTTTTACATTTGTAATTTCTGGGCTTTTTATAGCTGACTATGCGGTATAAGCTTTGTTCATTGCTGAGGGCCGTACGGTGACCTATAACTGTTAATTTCTGTGTCATTTGGTATCTTGTGAAGAGTTGTCTCATTGGCAATAATACCACATCTTCTTATCTTTATATATATATGTTCCGGACCATATGAGTATGTGGACCATACGCGTTTGGTCCGACCATATGAGTATATACTCGTTTGGTCATAATAGGCCGGACAATATGAGTTTTTTATATTTGTTTTTATAGTGTTAAAAATTATAACACAATTTTGACTGCTCCAGCCCTATTTTAGGCATGTTTACCTATTATTTCTGCCTGTTTTGTGCACTCACTGTTGTCAATATCATTGAATTTTATGCGACTGTCATACAAATGAGAGGTTTTAACTAGCTATAAAACCAGGATAAATTATTTTCTACGTAAGGATATTTCTGTTCCAAGTCAGATATATGACAGTTGTTTTCCATTCGTTTGATGTGTTTGAGCTTTTGATTTCGACATTTGATAAGGGACTTTCCGTTTTGAATTTTCCTTGAAATTCAGTATTTTTGTTATTTTACTTTTTAGAGCATATAGGATGTTTTCGAATAATTTCTAATTTCCTTCGCTGGAACATTCAACTCGTTTTCCGAACCAACATCTGCACATGGTACTAACTTAAATCCTTTGTCTTTGACATACTTAACGTTTCAACTATTTCTTCTAAATAACACCACATGAGTTGGTGGGCATAGATTTACCTTTTTACATCGGTCTTTCATTTCTTTTTAGTTATTCTTCTAATTTAATTTCTCTTTATTTTCACTTAATTCTCCTATGCATACAGTCTTACCATAATAGTAGTCAAAATATTAGTTTTAAAAACTTCTACTTCATGACCCCTTGAATGGTCATACCTTATGAAAGTTGCAGCGATGTTCATCGTGTAAATTACCCAGAACATATGCGTATGGTCAAAATACCCATATGGTCCGAAACATATATGTATTTATATCTGTATGTGAATACCCTGTGTATAAGTTTTATATGTATAAAAGTTATATGCATGTGTATGTTAATATATGAACTTTCAGCAAGCCTGGTATCAAGAATTATAAAAAACAAATTTTGCCTTTTTTGGTCCAAAAGTGTGGATTTTACTCTCAAGTGAAATTAAAAATTCATAAAGGTATTTGAATCAAAATATTTTTATTTGTAACCTCACTCACTACGGAACCCGTTGTTTTTTTTTATCTTTGTGATATGAATATATATATTTTATTTGGCAATCGCTAATGGCAGTCAGCAGGGTTTAAGAACATCAGATGTTCGACCTGTTAGTCAAATGCGTTTTGTTAAAATAGACTTTTTCACTTTTTTTTTGGTCTTTTGGAAATTGTTGTTTGTGCTGTATTTAGACCCCTCTACCAAGAAATTTGTTTTGCATGCACACGTATAAAAATTGCGGTTTTTATCCAACGCAATCATAGGTTTGAACGTTGTTTTCAATTTAGTCTTTTTTTATATATATATATATATTGAAAAGTTATTAAAAAAAATTCTACGCTGTGCATAGAATATGAAAAATTGACAGTAAATTCGAGTCCCAAGTACAAGAAAAATCCCACTTAGCCAACATATTGATAGACGCGCTGGATCAAATCATCCAAATTTCTTTATTTTTCCATTTAAACAGTGTTCAGATAATATAACGGGACCAATGAGAATTAATAAAGAAAATTATTTCATAAAGAAATATCGTCCTAAATTAAATAGATGAAATGAGAATACGGAAGGCATTTCTTTTCATTATAATTATGTATTTTGACTTTCGTTTTAATACCTACGTTGTACTATATTATGACGTTCAGGACTATATCATGATACCGCTAATAGACGTTACCCCTGACAACGTCGCTAGTATCCATATTCAAAACCGAAACAGTTGATGAGCTATATAACCAAAAAGGGCATAAAAAGGTAAAAAAAAGTTACAATATCAACTACAAGAAAAAACAACGAGACACCATATATTTACACCTCTGGGTAACACGTTCGAAATTAACGTTGATGTATGTTATACGACATTATCGATATCTTGATGTGCAATTTAGTTATGAAGTTATTTTATTGTGCTCCGACTACAACTTGTTCTGTCGCGAGCAAGTTGACCTAAGACAAAGTTGGCTATTCTGGTCAAGTCGTAATTTACTGGTAAGCTCTCAACCGTTTTATAACGTTTGTTCACAAACGAAACTAATAACAGATTATTTCAGTAAAATGCATTCTGTTGATGCACCTAAAAAAGGGAAAATTCCAATCATTTTCACCAAATTCTCCCAGTGCAGTCAATGCCTGGAGATCAAAGAGCCTAAATGTTCTTAATACTTTGTTTTCATATTTTTTAAAGGTCGAGACACTTTCAAAATACAACTACAATGTTTTAAATATAAATTTTTCAAAATAGATTTTACATCTGTAGTCAGATTTTGAATAAAATAGTACAATTGTATACGGAAAATTTGATACATTCTATGAAATTTTCTATTAGGTTTTCACAATCAAGGTTCACTGTAATAACTTTTAAATCCTTTTTAGTATTGTGGTTATGCCATTTTTTTTTGTTATTAAATATACCGATGATAGTACATACTACACAGCTTAAATTTTGGATATCAATTTCATATTGTTTCTTGTTTACTCTGCAGTAGGACGCTAGCTTTGGGTAGGTAGAGATTTATCCTACGTAATGACAGCAACACAATAGAATTGTATTAACTAGCCGATTGATGAGAAATATTTAAATATAGAATTACAGACACCTGCATTATAAAAATAACATCCCAGTCACATAATACTTTATTCCTTCATCAAGCTTGCTTTATTCTTTTATTGACCACTTTAGTTATAACTGTAAAGCAATGGATATATATTTTTGATATTAAATGTTCTTCAACTCAAAGGTTTTTTCCATAAAGAATGTGAACCGTAGAATGCAACAAAATACTTACATAATTTTCTTTGTGGCTGACGTCTTAATTCTTTGTCTTGGATGAGACTATGTCTTTGCATACTGTTTTTCTCAAACAGTGGTTACAATGCAGAATATGAAGCTGTCTGTTGAAAAGAAAATGAATAAAAATAGTATTGAATAGATTCTTATTTGTGCTTTAATGAATACATAAAAATGCAATTTATATGATAATCGAAGACACCCAATTATACAAGTATTCAGTATTTTGAAAATCCTAATTTATTCATTATTTGATATGCCAAATCTTCAAGAGCACAAGACTTTTACCATGTGTTCGTCTTCCTCAAAATTGGATTTTACGTATCTTTGATCATTTAACCAGACACCTCCACGGTTTAATGTACTGTCATGAAATACTAAGAAAGTTGGAAGAAAATAGACGGGAGTGTTGGACGTACATATAGAGGTTAATTCCTAACTATCCTACTGCCTGTCGAAACTTTTTTTTTTTGGCATTGCACAAGTCATGTCTTCTTTGACTGTCCATGACGTTAAAATACCAAATTCCTGGGATGTGTTTTAGTTGATTTTAGTATCTGATGCATGATTTTAAATATTAATTTTTTTTGGCTTTTAACTAGCTTTCAGTAACTGCAAATACTCTCAAATCGTACTTTCTTGTTAACTTGACCTGTTGATACAATTTGTAATGCTTTTTTGTTATTTAATGTTTACTTATTAAAGGTAATATCTCGTCTCTATATGTTTAATATATACCAGCTTTGATAAGTGTGTGGTAGGACTATAAATTTTCACTTTTGTTCTCGTACTATGAACAAAAAAATATTTTCGTTCTTCATTTATACTGTAAACCTTACAAAAAATTATTTTCATTTACCTGTGTACATTATTCTATTTGGCGGAATTTTGTTAAAGGTTATGGTTGTTTTTCTGAAATTGTTTAACATCTAACTCCTTATTTTATTGATTTAGAATTTACATTGTGTCATATATCAAATTTATTCATTCAGTGTATGTTCACTTGTGTTAATTTGTCTTTTGATTGAGTTAAGCCATTTCTATTGATATTTTATAGTGTGTCTTTCTATGTTGTGATGTTACATTATTGTTTCAGATAAGGGTGAAGGTTGGTACCTATAAAAACGTTTTAACCCGCTGCATTTGTTTGCACCTGTCCTAAGTCAGGAATCTGGTGTTTAGTATTTGTCGTTTGTTGATGTGGTTCATAAGTGTTTCTCGTTTCTCGTTTTTTATATAGATTAGACCGTTGGATTTCCCGTTTGAATGGTTTTATACTAGTCAATTTTGTGGCCCTTTATAGCTTGCTGTTCTGTGTGAGCCAAGGCTCGGTGTTGAAGACCGTACTTTGACCTATAATGGTTTACATTTACAAATTGTGACTTGGATGGATAGTTGTCTCATTGGCACTCATACCACATCTTCTTATATCTATGTGATAAGATTTTCTTTGGTTAAATGATTTGTATAATGAAATGAAACATCATTTACAGGGCTTGATATTTGTGTAATATTTTGATTTAAAAAAATCTGAAAGACTACACAAAGGTTGAAAATAGCATACACCGATAGGTATATTGCTTGACTTTTGTAGAAAAAAAATCAGATATACAGAACGTGGTCATAACTATTCGTCACTTGGAATTTTTCACTATATATTTCATATAAAACTACGTTTTTATTAAACATTATTTTAAGGTTATTTAAGCAACTTGGTACCAATAAAAGAAGACTTTGCACAGGTTTATTTGTTTACTTGGTTGAATTTTTATAGTGAAAAGTAAAATCACAAAAATACCGAACTTCGAGGAAATTCAAAACGGAAAGTCACTAATCAGTGAACCATTTTCATTTTCTCGTGAGATAAACACAAATATTATTTTCTGTTCACAAATTTGCTTTATATTTCAAACAAATTAAATTGTGAAAAAAATATTATACGTGTTCACAGCAGGAGAAAAAAAAACTGAAGACAAAATTATGACCAAAAAACAAATATTATTTAGACAATTCTGCGTCTTTCAACATTTAATTTGTAAAAGTCCAACCATAAATGACCTCGAAATAATTCAAAAACATTTTTTTTATGAATATATAGCAAAATAATATAGTTGGCGAATACATTTGGCCCTGTACTATAGTATAAACAAAGGACAATATAACAAACGCAAAACTGAATTGGTCTGTTTGGAGTATGTCAAGACTATACATAGAAAAATAGTGTTCGATTATTAGATCTACAATCTGATCAATTTTGGTGCAATTGATCCTAATCCAACCATCATGTTACACAAATTTTCATTTTATCACTTCAAATATATCAGAATAGTTTATTCAAATAATGTCAAGACATGTATTCGTAAAGTAAATTATGGATATGTTTAGCGCCAGCACACAGTTTAAACTCTGCCACATTCTTTGTGTGCCGGTCCTAAGTCAGCAGCCTTTAGTGGTTGTCGTTTGTTCATGTATGTCGTTGTTTTCGTAAATTGTTTCGTTAGAAATAAGGCCGTTAGCTTTCTCAATTGAATTGCTTTACATTATTCATGTCAAGGCCTTTATAGCCGACTATAGTGGATAGATGTCCCATTGCCAATCATACCACCCTCCTCATCTTTATATATCGCCTCAAATATTTCTAAGGTTCAATAAGTTGCAAATAAGAAGATGCTGTATCATGCTGCTCCCAAGAGAAATGAAATGGCGAATTGTATTTATTTCATATAAAAATAACATTATAAATTGGTAGACCAATGAAAAGTATTTTATGGTAGCATTTTTTTCTACATTAACAAAAGCATAAACACGAGTGCACACGCTGAAATGTCTTGGCTGCTATACTGACCATTGATGTTGATAGTCATAAATATATTTATTATGAATATCACATAAACTTAACATGATCTAGGAAATGAGGTCAAGGATAGATAAACCAAACTGGAAATATATGTACACCTTACAATCAAGAAAATATTGTTGAACTATTATTTTATAGTTTCTAGGAATCAAACTTAATCAGGCAAACTAAACATTAACCAATGAACCATGAAAAAGAGATCAAGGTCAGATGAACCATCTGAAGACAGACATGTACACCTTACAAGCAATCTATGCATTACATATAGCTGACATATTGCTCGTAGTATCTTAGAAACAAAAATAACTATGAAAATTTAACATTGACCAATGGACCATGAAAATGAGGTAAAGTCCAATTACACCTACCAGACAGACATATACACCGTACAATCATTTCATACAACAAATATAGTTGACTTATTGCTTAAAGTTTAAGAAAAACAGACCAAAAACCAAAAACTAAACACTGAACTATTAACATAATATGCAAAATGAGGTATAAATAGTTTTATGCAATAGATAAACTAATGTGTTACTGCGAACAGGTTAAATTTATTTTTCATAAAAACTCATTCAAGATACCCGACTTAAAATTTAATATGACAGACGCGTGTTTTGTCTACATGTCATTCATCTGTGACGCTCGAATCAAAACAGTTGGTAGGCAATTTCGTAAACGAGTTGAAGCGCATTTGAAATAGAAAATTCCGAAAAGTTGTGACAAACACGACTGAGGCAATCTGTGTCTGGGGTAGAAAAACTTTAGTGTTGTCATAAGTTTAAAGTATCTATATAAACATTAACTGTACAGAAAACTAACATACAATGTATATCGATGATATTATCGACAAATAATATTTCATTCAGTGGTCGTTGATCGCAAGCATTGATAAAAATAAAACAGAGCACGTGCGAAACATGACAGAGAAGTGAATTGAAAGAGCCACGATATTTGTTTTCATATGTTCCATCCGTTAATTTAACTATTCCTTAACAGTTGTTGAACGATTTGTTGTATCATTTTCTTCTTTAAGTGGCACATGTTTGCTCTTCTCTACCCGGGATTCGAATTCATGCTAATGGTATATCGAGACAACACCGCCTGCACAGTGTCCAGCGCCCTAGACAAAACGGCCACCTAACTGAACTATAATTCAGCGTTCAGTGGCCTAGTGCTACCTTTCTTTGTCAGTAGAATCTAGAGTTGTAACACAGTACGTGTATGATATATAAAGCACGAAGATGGAATTGATTGCAGATTAGCTAAATATATAACGTAACGGATCGTAAGATACAGTCACAGAAATTATTTTGATAAGTTCGTCTAAACTCTACGACAGATCCAGCCATAAGATCACCAGTGAAGGTGATACACGACTGAAACACATATTATATTCATAATTACTCTAAATATCGGCACAACAATGTCAAATCTGCAAATTTGCGGAAGCAAATTTTTGTTCTTCCATCACCGGGATTCGAACTCATGCTATTGGGATATTGAGACAACACTGCCTTCACTGTGTCCAGCGCTCTAGACCACTCGACCACCTAGACTGAACTATAATTCAGCTTTCTGTGGCCTAGTGTTTACTTTCTTCGTCAGAAGAATCTAGAGTTGTAACACAGTACATGATATATTAGGCATAGAGATGGAATTGATTGCAGATTAGCTAAATATATATCGTAAAGGATCGTAAGATAGTCACAGAAATAATTATTTTTGATAAATTACGTCTAAACAAGGGACAACTCTACGGAAGATCCATGTATTAGATAAACAGTGAAGGTGATACACGGCTGAAAACACATATTATATTCATTATGCCTCTAAATATCAGCACAACAATGTTAAATCGGCAAATTTACGAGGCAAATTTTTGTTCATCCCTCGCCGAGATTCGAACTCATGATATAAGGATATCAAGACAACACCGCCTGCACTGTGTCCAGCGCTCTAGACCACATGTGCCACCTGGACTAAAATTCAGCTTTCGGTGGAATAGTGTTACATTTTCTCGTCAGTAGAATCTAGAGTTGTAACACGGTACATGGTATATTATATAACACTTGTAAATTTGCACAGTCTATTTAAAGTGAAAATGCTCTCGTAGTCAAGAGAATGAAATATTACAGCACTCAGTCGAGTGTAAATATCTGAAAGAGTGGGGTTTTTTTTCTATGACAGTCCATTTCATATTATTTAGAGATACTCGAGACCTTTTATTGGCATATCATACATATC